AATCATTTATATTCATCATTTTTATTCATTTCCTTTTCTCATTATTCATTTACAAATTGCGAAAATGTAAGGCAAAGATTTTACCGTTATCCTTTATCGCATTCCATTCACCAAGAAGAAATGGTGATGGAGCAAGTGAGAGACAGAGAGAAGACGAGTAAGACTGATTTTGTGGATTTAGACGAGTGAGACACACAGTAAAAACGTGCTCCACTCGCGACCGAGCCAGAGTGTGTGACTGTGACAGTTGGCCAAAGCGCAAAAATGGCAAAACAAAGAAAAACTCCGTAAATTATAATTTGTGTGTATGCTTTACTTTGGCAATTCTTTTCTCCATGTGCCACTGTCTATGTCATTTATTTCTTTCATTTGTTCAATTTCAATGTTTTTCATTTCGTTTTCATTTGCTTCTGTTGTTGTCATTTGAATTAGAGAGACCGAAAGTTGTTCAAGATTGGGCGACAGAGAAACAGAGACCCGTGTCACCGACAAAAACTTTTTTTTTTTTCAATTCATTTTGCGCGCTTTTCCATCGCCGAAGGGTTTTCGCATAATTATGAAAAGACTTGAAACATTTTTTCTCTGTTTTCATACAAGTTTATTCTCTCTCCCACAACTCATCCTGATGGAGAGAAAGAGAATTTCTATAAAATAAAATGCCACCTTCCGACGTAGACGACCAGAGTTTCTTTTCTCTTGATTCGTCGAATTTGATGAACGACACGAAATACGAACGAAACAAATCTTAAAAGAATTGAAATTCGGTGAATATTATGATTATATTATTGCAGAACTGAGACAACCGAATATGATTCTTTCATTTTTATTCCATAAATAGCATGAACGTTGTTGTGAATAAACGTTCCTTAAACCAGAAATTTAATTAGAAAAATGTGTTTTTTTTTTTCTCTCATTTAATGATTTAAATGAAAATATTGAAAGTTGTGTGTATGTAGCATGACACAAAATGATGATATGTTTTGATAAGAGATATTGTACGGTACGGTATGACTGTAGACGGTAGGTGGATGAGATGAGAAAATGGGAAAAAAAAGCACGCCAATTGGATTCAATGCGGTGTAAAACGGGCAACAGCTCGTTTTGTAAACCCGCCACCTCGTTGCTAATGCAATTTATTCGTTTGCCATCGACACAGCAACGACAACGAGATTTCAAAGTAATTAATTTTATAAAATATTTTGCCCGAATCGACATTTCAACTCTAATGAGAGTGAGATAAATGGTATGTACAATTCTACATGTCTCATTTGCCAGGGTTTTCCGTGCGAAAAAAAGCCCGCAGTCACATATTATGTGAGTGTTTTTGTATGTGAATATTATATGTTGTTATCAATTCGTCCGATGAGCAAAACACAAAATATATTTTTTTTAAAGCGATACCGAACCATATTTGTATATCATTTTTGATTATGTTTGCTGTAGGAGAACGGGAGGATAAATATTACAACATCATTATCCCGTTAAGATTCAAGCTTTTATATCGTGCAATTGAAACATTCAAATGGCTGAAAAATGTTTGCATTTGATTCCAGTTAAATGGTTGTTTCGTGGGATTGTGTTCATCTCCATTTCACGTGTTGTTGTTATTTTTGTTCGTCGATGATTTGTGCACAAATCGAATGGAAAATACTGATCTCGCAAATACTTGGGCATTTATAGAAAATAACAAGCCAAAAACTCCATTTGAAGTTGTCTGTAATGTAAATGCAATTTATACGCAACGAAATATGAATATGACACTCCTACCGGATCCTGATTGGTGGTTTTATGTAAGGATTCATTCAATAACACACGCTTACATACACAAACGCTTTGGCATTTACACACACACATACACATACATACAGGCATATTAAGTACGTTATCCTTGCTAAACGCCTTCCTTCTCATCATTATCACACATGTACATGAGTTGAGCTCGCTACAAGTCATCGTCAGCTGGAGAGAGAGAAAGACTAACCACACACCGAACAAATCATCATCGTTCGAAATGCCTTTCACTCTATCTCTCTCTCCGTTTCCCTCTATGTGTATGTGTGCATAACGAAGGTTTTTCCATTTGAATTGTTGACTGCGCACATCGACCAACAAACAGAGAAAAAAAAAACACACAGAGTCCACAACTAATTTCTCATGAACATTCACAGTATATCCATAAGCCAAGTTGAATAATAACTTGATAAAAATGCGATCTCTCACTCTGTTCTACTCTCTCCCTCTATTTATATATCTATCGCTGTGTAAGTGTACAATTGTGTGAGTGTGTTTGTGCAACATGAATAGGACCAAGGGTGGGTTTTTCTTTTGCTTTGTTAATCGCACAAAAAACGTTCATTCGCTTTCGACAATAACGAATTTCATTGAATTGCACACATACATACTGGTGCTGGTTCAATTCCTAGGCAGCATTTAACTGCTGTCGCATTCAAACGATTTCAATTTCCATCTCTAGCATTTCCTAACCACGTGCATTACAATCGGGTTATTGCTGGGAACAATTTTCATTCCCTCTCATTCTATCGCACCAATATGCATGTGACGTGTGTTTTGGACGATTGTTGGCATTGTTTGGCTATACCGTACTCTATCTTTTTCTCGCATTTTCTGTGTGTATCGCGATATATTTCACCCTATGTGTGTACATTGTATGTATTTGTGTTTGTATTTGTCTCTCACACACAATATCAATATACACAAACCCTGATACAAAAAAAAAAAATTCTCCACGATAGATGAATCGTGTGCCACTGTTGCTATTGATAAAATAGGTTCAAAAACAATTTTTGCCATTTGTTGTTTTGATGCGAACGCAGACGTAAGGCAATCACATATCGTGTGAGTGAAAATCGGAATTTTTACGCGAACAATTTTAACGATCATAAAATATCGCAAAGTCAATACCGTTATACCGTGTTACTTGAAATGTGAATTAAACGGCATATATTTCATAAATCAAAAGTGATCATACGAATTTTTATGAATTTTTTTTTTTCAACGTTTCTATGTTATCAATTGTGAAGGTTTAGAAGAGGAAAATCGTCAAGATTTTTTTTAGAACTGTTGAAATATACATCGAGTGAATAGAAATTGAAGAAGAACATAAAGAACATCATAAAAAAAACGATCGTGATTATATCAGTGTATTTGTGCGTTATTCGATATCGTGGTCTAGTCAACCTGATGTATTTTGTTGGTTGTGCACATAGTGAGTGTGAACTAAATTACACCACACACATATAGTCTCGCTGAATTGCGCGCTCTCTCTTTTTCTCGCTCGCTCTCTGCGCCGTGTGTGTGTGTTTGTCATCGTCGTCGTTGTCGACAATCGACTAGAAAACGAAAGGAAGATAGAGTTAAAATTGAACGGAAGCAGAGGTGTCCGGTAACAGTAACCGGTTCCGATCTTCATTCTTTCCTGTTCCTTTTCCTATTTGGTTGCTCGTTGCACAACCTCGGCTGCTCTGATTATATATATAAATTTTTTTTCTCGGTTCAATATTTTCTCGGTGCATTTTGGTGGTGTTTTTGTCGGTGTTATTGTGTCGCTGTGTGTATAAACGCGCGCGCGGTGTATCATCGAACATTTTTCTCAAAACCGAAATAATAACAATAAAAATATATATAGAAAAAATACACTCTTCAATGTGAATTGATAAAAATTATTTGTTGGTTTTTTTTTTCACACTCGTTTGTATTTCGATTGCGACGTGGTTATATGTTTGTTGTTTTTTTTTTTGTGTCTCCGGAGAGACTTTTGACTGTGACCAATATATATTTTATTAGGCAAACAATGCCTAAATACTGTGCTTTTGTACTTTGTTATGTGTTTTTGTATGCAACGGAACTCATGTAACGGCCCTTATAATCGAAAAGGAAGAGACACTCGGGCAAAATTGAAAGACTAGAAGAAAAAAAAAAACGATTTTTGACTGTTTTATTACAACGTGATAAAAAAAAAGAGTTCAGAAACACATTTGTCTTTGAAATATTGATATTGATTTTTTTTTATCGAGAAAGAGAGAGAAAAATAACGGAAAAGGTATTTGATTTCGCGGTTCCTGCAGTTCTAATTTGTTTGTTTGCCATTTCCAACTGATCTTCCGAATGCTGTTAATTGGAATGATATAAAGTTTCCTTATGTCGTCGTACAATCGTCTCTGTTTTTAAATTTCCGGACACTCATAATCAAATAAACGAAAAACACACAGACAGTCAATCAGATTGAGGAACAGAAAAAAATATAAAAAACCAAACACAATTTTAGTGAATAAAACAAACAAATATCAACATTACAATGTTAGATATTAAAGGATCTGCTGATTATTTAAGTCGTTCCACCGGATCGTTTAGCAATTTTTCAATGTTATTTGCCGGTAATAATGACGAAGGTTCTTTTTTTCATCACTCATTTTTCTAATTTTAATTCTCATTAATATTGCAAATAATTTAACGTGCACATTTTAACTACTGCGAATATAAACATTTTTTATTGGTCATTTCAATTTTTGGAATTGAACATTTTTCTCATAAATAAATAGAATATATTAAATGTAAATCATTTTGAATTGATTTGTTGTTTTAGTTTTTTTTTTTTTGTATTTGATTTGTTTAATTGCAATCAATTTTAATCAAAACAAATATTTTATGTACTCTTTTGCAAACATTTTGAATAAAATGACGAGCTTTCGTCTGACTGAATTGAGACATTTTGACGGCATATTTGTACATGTTCAATAAATTGATATTCGCTGCGACTGATCGAAATGGCTAATTTGATCGAAAGCTGATTCAAATTGTAATCATCATACGTACAAGATCATATGTCAAATAGTCTCAATGTGTTCGTCTGTATGGAAATCAAATATATTTGCATACCGTAATTGTGTGATAATATTTATTTGCTTATTTTTTTTTACTTTTTGTTCTCGTTTTTTATTTTATTTTCTCTCGTCTTTTTTCGCATTCCAAATTCTCTACAGAGCCTGCTCCATTTTCCTTCAAATTAGGCTGGGGTTTAACCACTCCATCGCAATCTTCATCGACTTCAAGTCCAACGACTTTTCTACATCAATCACCTAGTACAACAATAACAACAACCACAGCCGCCAGTACCAGTACTGAGAATTTGTCGGCTTTGACATCAAATCATGTTAGACATTCGACAGATATCAGAGATCCTGCCGATTCATGTAATTGCCGTTTATTTTTATTTAATGTTTTTTTTATTCAGTTTTTATGCTTTTCTTAATTTGAACCTTTTTTCGCAAATGCTTGTTATGATTTTGAATTTAAATTTTCAATTCAATTCTTGTTAAATTTAAATTTGATTTTCCTTGTTCATTGAAATAACGACAAAGAATAATTTCGACAAAAAAAAAAACTATTTTTTTCCTTAGATTCATCCTATAAAACATCATGGGGAACACATAGTAATTCACAGGCACAAGGTAAATATAATTAATTTAATAATTATTTGTTTTAAGTGCAAACTTTACATATGTTTGTGAAATTTCATTTGAATTTGAAAGAAAAAAGATCTTCAATTTAACTTGAAATACAATTTCTACATATTCTGCGGCACTCAGGAGTATTCTATTTTTTCGATCAAAATTCAACAAAACAACAACAACATACACGAAATTTCCATAAAAAAATAAATTAATAATTAATAAATAAATATTGAGAATCAATTAATGTCGTATTTGTATGACATTTTCAGGAAAGTAGTTCATCGTTAAGCTCAATACTTGGAAAATGTTGGTTTTTCAAACATTGATTTTCTAAAATGAATTTTTTAATTGATGAATCAAAATTAATAAAACCATAAAATCGGAAATTTGATTAAAAAAATACGATAAAATCCCATGTCCTGTTCTATTGAATGGTGCCAAAAATATTGTCATCAAAGCAAAGATTATGATTACATCATTTAAATTGCTTATAAAATTCAAAGCAAAAATTTAGAAAAATTTTGGTAAAGATTCATTAGACCTTAAAAGATGCAATGTTAGTGCTGCGGGCTATTTTTTCATCAATTAAATTCTTATTCAACGGCATCAAAGACAAGCTGTTACACTGAATGCGAATTGCTTGGATTGGTTTATTAAGATTTTGAGACCGAAACAAATAGGTCATAATATTATTGTTACGTATTTTGTTTGGGCTTGTGCATTTGTTGAACTGTAAATAATTTCATAAAAAAAATATGGATCTTTCTCTCATACAGACACACGCACCCATCGAAAATGTAAATAAAATTAAAATTACGTACACCCTCAGTTGATTGGTGGGTTGATGAATGGAATATTGTGTTTGAAATGTGTCGACAGGCGGGCGCGAACGTTTGTACAAAAGTACATTATATTATTGTTATCAGCATTGTTCTCTTTTGTATATCGTTGTGTTGATGTAAATTTAATATTTTTTACGAAATTGTTCAAAGTCTTCGTTGTCATACCATCATCAAGCGTAGTTATGATATGAAAATTGCCTTAATAACGACGCATCATCAGTCACATAAGATGAGCTCGTAAACGATAAGAAGGCAATGATGCGCGACAACGAACACGATGAAGAGAAAGAGAGAAAGAGAATGTGATCTAAAGCGCAAACCGAATTATTTTTGTGATTGTTCGATGATGATGATGATGATGAAGAAAAGTTCGGGATGAAAGTAATGGGTTTGTGTGTTTTGTGAGTGGCGTACGTAATTTTAAGATAGAGAATGAACAAATCAGAAAAACGTTCAGTTGCAACAGAAGCAACAGCAGTACGTAGTCACAGTAGCAGCATCTGTGTATAAGCTGTGTGCGTATGTTTGCGTTTGTGCACAAGCACCCGCTATCCAGTCATGCAAAAACAAAAATACCGTAGGCGTTTATAAATGATAATAAAATGTGAAAGTTGGTGCTACAAATTACACCCTCTAAAAACGCCTCAGGACAACACACAAAATTTCAAGCAGCAACACCACACACACATATATCTAATAAGCGAAAAATGAACAAAACTCTCTCTTTCTTCATTTTCATTGAATTGATGCCCTTTCTCGCTCACTTTTCTATGCATATCACTGAATGAGTGAATGTGTGATTTTTCATCATTCTTAGTCTCTCACGTTTTTTGTGTTGCTGTTTTGTTTTCTGCTATTGCTGTAATTTAAGTCTCTTTCCCTCTCGCTCTCTCTCTCTCTCTCTCTGCCGAGATTTCTTTCCTATTTTGTGCAAACGAGAGTGAGTGTGTCTGAATGGTTCCTTTCATCGTTGCTCATTTAGAATCATACACCGACTGCAGCTGATTTCAGCCTCAAGTGTGTAACAATCGACGATGACGACAATGAAAACAAATACACAGAGCCTCTTTGTACTAGCTCTTTGTCGTGTCTTTGTGGTTGTGCTTTGACAATAGAACAGTATGACTAAATTTGTTCGCGCTTTCAACGCTCATATACACACCTACACACACACACACACACACTCTCACAAAATGTCACCACATTAATTCAACAATTTTGCTGCTCATTTTTTGTCGTATCAGCAGCAAGTGCGTGTATGCTTGTTCTGTTTAAACTTTGTGGTTGACAATGTTGATTTTACGGTTAGTTTCTTATGGATGTGATGTTCTTTATTTTTCTCGCTTGTTTTCACACCAAATTAGTTTATATAAATTTTCTAATAAAACCTTTGATCTCAACGATGGCACGATGGCATCGTTTGTATTAATACACGTGCAACTGTGAATGTGTGTATGTAAATATGTTGACAATGCGTTTGACAACCACAATGTTTCCATTTCAATTCACCCGCAAAAATGATTAGCACACAGAGACAAATTTCATCATGAAAAATTAATTTTGAAATTGCGTTTTTCCCATACAAAATGTGAAAATCGGCTTTTTGTATGGGCAAATGAGAATAGCATTTACTTTGCCTAGATAAAATGATGCGCAAAATGCCTTTCGGCAATATCATAGACATTCATGCAAACGACACACAGAATGATTAACCCATGAATTGAATAATAAAACAGAAACCGGCTTGGGCTACAGAAATCACTCTGAAATTTTCTTTATTCAATAGAAAAAGAGTGTCTTTTCGGTTGTTTTTGTTCTACAATCAATGTTTCCTAACCGAATTCATTGAGTTTACGATAACTCAACAAATTTTAATTGACTTCAAGTTTTCAATTCAATATAATGTCACTGTTTCAATTTGTGACTTTTATAAGTTCCACAATATTCATATAGAAACGAAAAATAAAATACGAAAAAAAGTACAGCTAAGAAATGAAATTTTTGTCTTCCAATTTGTAACGGTGTACTAGTAGTTAGTACCAAAAAAGGAGTAAAATTTTTGAGGTTTTTTTTTCTTCAACAAAACCTTGAAAATACGTAATATAGAGATTAATACATGTTTCCTTAACTAAGTTAAGTAAGTTCGATTCGAAAAAAAGCGGAAAGATCTTAAATTCAATGAAAAATATCATGATCGATGAGCTCGATGTCATCTTTCACTGAGTTTGCTGTTCGGACGATTTGACTGCCTTTGATGCCAACAACTTCACCGATTTCATCGCTGAGCCGTATTCGCATGTCGACATGTTCACGACCGCTAAGTGTTCCTGTACAAACAAATCGAAATTATTTTCATTAGATATGTGTGTTTACAACATGCATTTTTATTTCGAACCAACAACTTATCAATTCTTACCGCGAATGCTGGCTGAAGCCAAGAAGATTGATGCAGCAGCAATCACTTCGGGCAGAAGCTTTGCTTTTGTCTTTGGTGTGCGTGATTCAATAAGTTTGGAAATTTTTCGGGCTTTTATCAGCTCTTGTTTCGAATATGCCAAGTATCCGCAATAGCGATCGATCATTTCGGTGCTTCGGTTTGATTCCGAAATTTTTAGTCCAAGTATTTTATAGATTCGATAAACGGCACCGGCCAATGCACTTTTGCTGACCGCATAAATGGCCGAAATTTCACCTTTTGATCGTGAACAATTTTCCATACGACACGCGACATACAAACAAGCAGCCGTTTTGGTGTCAACCAATAAAATGTTACCTTTTAATTTGATGTTTCTGTACAATTGTTGGTACAACACTTTGGCCCTTTGCAATACCGACGATGGTAAGCTAATGCGATCGCCCATTGTATCGATTTCTTTGAATGCATGTGTCAATGCATTATCAATGCTGCGTCGTTTGTAGTGTTGTACAACGCTACCGCTGAATGATGTCATGTTTTTTGGATTTGAATCCATTGACTTTATCATGGTGCCTAAATTGTAATCAGCACTGAGCAATGGATTTTCGGTATCACCTGTTCGAGATTTTGCCCATTTTTCCGCTTGTGAATCGTCCGCAAAATTTCGCCATTCCGCTTCTACACACAACATTCGTTCTTCAACCACAAGTGCACATTTCGTACAAATTATGTCACCGGTACTGTGATCCTCCGTCAAATTGTCGCTGCCGTGTGTTTTACAACCGGATTTTTGTTGCTCACGAACCATCTTTACATTTTTGTGTTCGGTTTGCGGTAACGGTTTATCGATTTTTACAGTTTTATTATCGACAAGCGATGAATTCATTTTTGCACGAATCTTATTCAAACACAAATAGCACCAGAACTTTTTTTTTATTGAATTTCAATAAGTCAACCGAATTGAGGAAATGTAAAAAATCGAAAATTTATCAGAAATGAAGGGAAAAAATGATTTTTATTGTGAACCCAAATTTACACACGGCCAATTGAGATGGAATCAAGGACGCTACTAAACCCGCAAGACAAACGCGTACGACTTAAGTGTCGTCTGATAGAATCTCTCTATTATTTCATGAATATTTTGCTGTGTTTCAGTTTCATCATGAGTGTATGTGTGCAAGGCTAATACGAAACCAATACCGGTGTATTCGTTTATCGAATGACCGCATCGTGAACAATATGCTTTGTGATTGTATGCGTCGGAACTCAGTGACATTTTCAAGTGTCAAGTATTTCATGCTGTTATGAAATTCAACAGAATTGAGATCGGTAGATCTTAAGTTCTCAAACGTCATAAATAATATTCTAACGGATAATAGAAACAGTGTTGAACAAAATAAAAGTATAAGCTGACTGAAAAATGTTGTCGTTGGTGTTATTCGATATTATAGTGTGGCATGGCATTCGTCAAACATTGCTCATGCTAAATAAGTGGTTAGTAAAAGTTTGTTTGTTTTTTCTTTCTTTATGAAAACTAGTAAAAATGATGGGAGAGAGAGAGAGAGATGGAGGGAGAAAGATTATTTGCGATGTGCGTGTATCGGGACGCGTTCAAAATCGTGTTGTGCATTGATTTCGACACGATAAATGAATTTCAATTGCACGACATACTTTGCTTTTGTTTATATATGATGTAAACTGTATTTTACTGAGATCGATCTGTAACAAATCGAGAACTATCAAAAAAGAATTTGACAAGAGCGTTCTTTTATCGTTATCGTCGTCGCTTATAAACATGTTCTGAAATTGTTTACATATTTTGTGCGGTAACATACGGTATAACATTTTGTATCGTACCATTCAAGTATATCAAGCGAAATTGCATTCAATAAATCTGTGCTCCACCGGCTAAAAATGAAGACAAACATTTATAAGAACATACATAGCAAAACTTTTCCAAAACATAAGTTCGACATTTTCGGTAAACTACGGAGAATGAGAAAAAAAACAACAACACATAAAATCAGCCACGCTAACAAGCCAGTACAATTTTTGATGTTCGTGTTATATTTCCTTTTTTTTCTCGTTCTTCCTTGCGCGTTTATACCCGAACTGGTCTCTTTTCGTTATTCTTTTTTTCTTCTCCTTTCCATTTAATCCGTACATTTTAAATGATGATTGTTGACTACGATTCGCTGTAACATCATACAAACATTTATTAAAAGAAAGAGTGAGTGAGCCCAATTGCAATGTATATGCTGTTAAAAGCAAACCGAACAAAACACATTATTTCATGCACTTAAACATAAAAACCATTTAATAAATTGCCATCAGTCATGCCAAAATGGCGGCTGAAAATTGCTGATTTGAACATCGTCGCGCGCAATCCATACACTCACACACAAAATCACATTCGTTCATTTATTCTTCCACGTTGTTCATGTGTACGTATATGGTGGATCGACAACGGCATACAGCATACACACCGCACCGTTCACCGCACCTCCGCCACTATACTTCTGCTCCACATCGAATCTAATATATATACAATTTTTTTTTGACTTTGTCGCGAGTGTATTTTCTCTTTTCTTATTTGCTTGCAATTCGGTTATTTTGGCATTTACACGTGTTACAGTTATTTACAACCACCGGACCTTTGACTCACCAAGATTCCAATTCACAGAAAAAAGAAACTATAGTTTCCATTCACATTTCAGTGCGATTTTTTTCTCTTAAATTCACTTGAATGCAAGTAATAATTTGTTATTTTTCTCCTTCAAATGGAGCAATGAAATTTCGAATAAAACAATTGTGAAATTAAACCATTTAAATAGGAATGGCAACCAAACAATATACAGACATGCTTAACATCATCATGCATTGCATGCAATATGATATGGTATATTCTCAATACGAAACACTCGTACAAATCGCGTCGCTCCAAATCAAAGTAAAATAACATAAAAATTCCGAACGACCGTTTGCGGACAGGACACCACAAAACTTAAATAAATATGTTACGGAAAATAGCATTTAGTTGAAAATGTACAAATTATTCGGTGAATCAGCATAACATTATAATATGTTAATTATATAACATATATTCGCACTTTTGGAGCGCGACACACACACCGAGAGAGAGAGAGAGAAACGTATTACAAATCGTCCAGTCGGTCGATGGAAGAAGAATAAGAAAAAGAAGGAAAAGCCAAAACAAATGTGTACACACGGACACAAAAGGAAGAGAATGAAATTCGTGTGACACGAGCGGTCGCGGAGCGTAGCAATTGTTTTAACAATGTTGCCAACAAAGTTTGTACGAATGTAAAATTCAATTTTTGTTTCTCTCGCGACTAGCGCGTTAGCGATTCAATATATTTTTTCCTTTTGAGTTCGCTGGCTTTAGACGTTCAATGTAATTTTTTCCATTGCAATATCGAGGTGAGTGTTTCATCATTAAATATGGTAAATTAGTTAAACTGCCCATCGAAGTCATGCATAAAGTCATTCATTCCCGAATGTCCGTCAATTGATGTGAATGAGTGTGTGTACGGGCTTGTGCCAGGATAATAATTTATTGGTGACCTAGAAAGCGGTCAGGTTAAAGGGAATTAAAGAAAATTGCGCTCATTGTACCTTAGCTCAGCATTTATTGCGATTAAAATGAATATGAACACAATGACATTTTAACCTGTATCGAGTTCACAGCATCACAATTCAAACAAATATCGCCAATTGACAATAGGCCACTATCAATTTTCCACTGCTGTTGTTGTTATTCATTGTTTTTTTTATATTTTGTTCGTTTGGGTTTTTCGACCGGTGGTTTTAATTCGGATCATGCAAAAATGACGCACAACAAACTAAAAGAGAGAGAGAGGGAGAGAGATAGAGAGAGAGAGAGAAAAACGATGTACATCAACAGTAAATAAAATTCAACTGGTTGGGTCAAAAGCACTTTTTCCGCAATATATATTTTTTTAGCTGTTCCTGCTCCCAGCTCCCTGGAAGCTCATTCGTATTTAACCGTGCATGACGCAAAGGAAGTTCAAATCCATTTTCAATATCCATGGTTGATGGTGTGTATTTTTTTTGTCCCATCGAAGACCAATTCTTCGAATGGTTTGAATTACTGATTAGGCTTGAACTAGTTTAGTCCTATCGAACATTTACTAGCCAATTTTCAATGGCCAACCATTGACCCATACGAAAATAAAACACATCTACTATCGACCATTCACTGAACACGAGAAAAAACCGAGCAAAAGCATTCAGAATACAAAATGCCCATATAATTTAATGCGTATCAACGCATCCTTGTATTGTATCAATGGTTTCAACAAAGGCATTTTTAATGGCCAATTGCAAAAAAGAGAGAGGAATCGCTTGAATAGAAATTCACTCAGCAAATTATTTGCACTATTGTTAAAGAATTTGTTGTTTCATTTTAGGCTGATGTGCGTATTGTTTTCTTCTCTAGTCGAAATACACTCGCCAAAAAAACTATTCCACGTTAGCCAAAGGATTGAAATAGTGGAAATAAATAAATCACATTGCAAGCAAGTTAATTTTTTGTGTGTATCGCATCAGTTTTTTTTATACGAACAAAATATAAAAAAAGACAAAATTCGCGATATAAAGGCAATTGACTTGTTGTTGTTGTTCATTCGTTTTGTGTGTTGTGCAAACTTTTGGAAAAATCATGTGTCAATACCTTTATGTTGTCTATCGGATAAATGGCGTTATTGGATATGTTAACGGATTGAAACCCTTTTTTTCATTCACTCAATCTTGTTCTCACTCTCTCCGACGGCTCACATCATTTGATAAATGCCATCGAAAATAAATGTGTACACGCGTTGAGTGACTTCAATGACTCTGATGCTATTTTATGCCATAAACACGTCGAATACATTCAAGTCGATTGAATGATGTGCGCCGAAAATAAACTTTTTATCTATTGATAAATCTTAAAATGGGATAACCGATGCAAAGATGATATTTTATGTAAACAAAATCTCTTGTGATGATTTCGTATACCATTTCGTTCGAGTAGTCTCAAATTTCATTGTCGTGTTCATTTTCACGTACTTGTCGCTGACACCATAAAATTCGAACAGCCATTAAATTGACGGGGTTATACTATTTCTTACCCGAGAGATATTGAGATAAGTGATTGAAAATGCAAGCAAAATATGTACACTGTACAATGCATATTAAAATGTGTTGTCACAAAAATGTTGAATCAACTTCAAAAATATATTTGCTTGCTTGATGCACAGAGTCCCAACATCACACAGAAACCTATACCTCTTTCAATTTCTGAAATGGTTTGAAAGAAAGGCTTTGAATTACGTCACTGCAAATATTTACACTCATAATTTATGAAGATCAAAAAAGAATGTACGTAACTCTTTTTTTCTTGTTCGATTTTGACTGTTGGTGATGGACGCATTTTGGATCCAATCAAGGATTCAATTGAGTCGTTTAATGTTCGGAAATGACAAAACAGTCAAATATTTTGAATCAGATTGCTTCTAATATTCCTGTCAAAATGGAAGGCATTTTACTTTTAAAAAAATAATTTTTGAATTTTTTTTTCAAATTGTCAATTTCCATTTCAATAATAGTTTTTTCTTCTCATTTTCTTCAGGATACACAACAAACACATTGACAAATGCAAATGTAGGCATTGGAAAGTCATCGTTGGATTCGCATTCACATTTTAGACAATCAGGTGAGCTATGTGCCCGTATAGAGTTCAATTATCAATAGAGATATTTAACAAAAGAATTTAAAAAAACGAGCAGAAATGGTTATGTAAATTGAAAGCACGTAATATACACTTATTGACCTCATTCATGTGTGATTTTTCTTGATGAAGCTCATCAGTGTGTAAGCCAATGAAATTACGAGATCGTGTCATAGTGCCAGTGTCAAAGTTATTGTCTAGCGTGTTTGAGAGAGTGATTGCAATTGTGAGTACGTGCAAAAAAAAATTGGCAAACACAAATGAACAATCAAACAATATTTGCACACTGGGATCGATAGATTGACTAATGTCAATCTACCAAAGATTTTCATTTGGTGTTGCTTGCTTTGTGTCTTGTTCTCACTCGTATACTCGCTGCTCATTTCCTTTGGTAGAAAGCAGTGGGATTAATAAATGCCCAGAATGTGATAAACTTTTCTGTATCTGTGATAATTTAAACAAATGTGATAAGATCTGTGATACTTTTGAATTTGTATATCGAATAGATAATCGTGCACCAGACATAATTTTTTTGGAGGGATTTGAGCCAATGGAAAAGTATTCAGACAGTTCAAGTGTTTGTAGCCATTTGTATAAAACAACAAATTGTTTCATTTGAGCAACTCACATTTACCCGGGTTGCACTGTCTCTGGCGAAATAAAGAATGAAGAACAAATGAACGCAATTGGCGAAGTAATGAATGATATTGGAATAGAAACGTATAATCATACTTTTTATGCATATAAAATTCGCGCTAACGAAAGCTTTTACAACGCAATGGATTCCCTCCAAATTTGTAGAAAAAATCATAACAAAGATGAATTAAAGGAAATAGATGATTGCATAGACATATTTGCTCTTCAGAAAGAAATATTCGCAACAAAAAAAATATTTCCTAAAAATATCGTATCAGTAATGGGTTGGAGTTATGATTCCACTGTTCATAAGTTCTGGCCAATCGATAAACTGTATTTCAAAAATGAAAATTATGATGAAACATTGACTTCTATTTCAAACGAAATTCCATACCATAGAATCGTTTGAACTTTCATATTTTTTAATTATATTTTTTTTTATTTATGTATTTTCAGTTGTTTTTATTTAAGATTTTTTGCGCTATTGCTCTGTATTTTAATATGTATATTTTTATTGTTCTTTTATTTATAAAATTATTTTATTGTATATTTATTATTTTATCACGGGGGACGAACGCGTCAATGAAGGCCAAAACCAGTTTATCGAAAATCGGTTCAGGTGTTTCCCGTCTGAATTGCATAAAAAAACGTAAGAAAAATGCTAAAAAGACCACTTTCGCGAAACTGGTGAAAGATGCTAAAAATGGCACTGCTGTATTCACAATTGTTATTGTTTTGATTTTGCTATCAAAATATCGTTTCATAACAAAATAAACAGTGGCGATGCGCTCATCAATGAAATGTTCGGACTTTGATAGAGAATAAATTTAAAAATCAAATAGCAAGTGAAACGAAAACTAGAAATGAACAAAAAAGAATTGAAAATGTCAACCAATTGGTAGAGGGAAGTGAAAATTAGTTCAATACTATATTTTGAATCGTTTGCTGTGTGTGTGTGTGTTTTACTTTATTTTCATTCCCCCTCTGCGGTCAATATTGATACAATGCCAGATATTTTTGTCGGCCTTGGCCATTCAATTGTGCGTATTTATATTATATTATTTTTTGAACGCTGTATGTGTACGCGTACTGTGCGCTTATATTTGTTTAGCATTCACATCAATTTTTTGCTACCCGGAAAACTCAACAACACCATCGATCGGACCGTTTCTTTTGATATGAGTTTTTGATACGCGTCAACAAATAATCGAAAATGAAACATAATCACGGAGAAAAATAATAAAAATAATTGCAAGCAGAGGAACAAAAATACATCTGAAACTGTCAGATTTGAAGGGACAATGATTTTTTGGACTCGATGCCAAATGACCAAAACAAAGTCAAATATTGTTTGTTAATATAAAAAAAAAAGAATGTTATTATTGCAGAGGCGTTATTTATTTTGTATGTCGATAGAAAGCATATTGGCTGCGAATATTTGAACATTTGATCAGCTTCATTTTAAGTGCATTAGATACGATTTCTGCAACTGGTCTTATATCTTTTGCTTATTTAGCACACATTCATTCGGGTCAATCAATAATTCAAAACTTTATTGGATTAAAATTTGGCGATAAAACTACAACGGATATTTTCGCATTCGGCGTACATGTGTTTTTGCTTTGTTTTCGTTGTTCTTAAAACATCAAAGATAATCAAGACCATAAAAGGAGTTTCACCTAACTTAATATAAAATAGAAAACCAATTGATGTCAAGATAACAGAAAGCCGAATGCAAAATGAATTGCAATAGTGAGGCGAGGTATGCAATGAGGCGCAATGTTCGTTTGAAACGACAAATTCAACAAATGACATTGGGTGTGTGTGTGCGAGTGTGACTTATGTTTCTTTTATGCATCAATTGACACATTGCCAACAATAGCATACTCATATTGCAAAGCCACTTACAAAACCGAATCGAATAGAGTGTGATGGACGAAGTGTGAGAGAGGAAAACAGTGCAAGACAGACACCCCGAAAAAGAGAGACAAAGAGATTGAGAGAGATCGAGTGAATTTGAGCGAACTAAGTAAATATTGATCAGAGATGCTTTCGCATGGAATTGGCAAAGAGAAAAGCTACCAAAAATTCATAGCACGTAAAACCATTTACAATGTTATACATTTTCAATGTGTGTGTGACAGTGTGTTTGCATTCAGTCTTTGCTTTGCACCATCTACATACGCATGAGCTAACAAAACAACACAAATCAACGTCAACTCGTAATTTTCCTTTATTTTCTCGGTTATTGTTTCTTTTTTTTCTTCTCTCTGCTGTTCGCCAATCGCCACTTTTCTAGTGATAACTTTCACCTCAACGCATTTCAAATACTTTGAATATGTGGCTGTCGACTTTGTTCTTTCGTTTATTATATTTATTTTGTAATGCTTTTGGCACACTCAATGCAGTTCATATTTGGATCCAACTCTTTTTTTTTGTCACTTTCGGTGTACTATGTTTTCGATTATATTCTTTTCAGAATTCACAAAAATAAAAGTGATTCGTTTTGTTTTGTATGTTATCTGCAAATCATGTACATAATACCATTTGCAATACCATCGCCTCGTACGCATTCCAAACAGTCACACAAAGAACAAGAGAGAAAAATCGTAATCGAATAAAATACGACCGTCGTCGCACCAAATCAAACCAAGAGAATTTTTTCCGTTTGACAATGGTAAAATGCAGGCAAAATAGGGGGATGCAAATCGAAAAATCAAAGGATTACAAATTTGATTCGTGTTTTTCGGTGTCGATTGGCATTGTTTCGGTACACTCTTTTACTCTTTCTCTTGCTGCGTGTGAAGCGCTTTATTTTCGGTTTGATGGTTGTCCTTTATGTTTGTTTAATGGCAACCGATTAAGTGTTTATGTTTAATATGTGTACAGTTGCCGCACAGTTACCATAGAAAAAGATAATTCGAGATTGCCTTTTGTTCAGCGAGTAAGAGAAAAAAAAATGTGATAGAAAGTATGCAATGATCGACATTTCAATTTTTCTCATTTTATGCACAACGGCATGCTCACTTGGTTTCTGTGTGTGTTATTGTTGTTAATATCGTTATCTTTACAAATGAACACATGGATTGAGAATGAGAGTTGTGCTAAAATTAACAACACAAAAAATTATACCGAAAATACACTTCCCGTTGAATAATAATGCATGTCGATTATTCATTTGACAGATACATATTCTTATCAATCAGTCTCTTTATTCATTGTGGTTACATGTACAACTACTTTTGGTTATCTTCAATTGACTACGTTTGATTGGGTTTAGTTCTTTTTTTGTGTTTTCTCATATAACATTTCATTGCAGCAGACAGTTCAATGTGTTGGTCACAACATTCAATTAATGAAAAAATTTAAAATTAATAACCATACAGATGTTAAAATCAGAATTCAGCTGCCGCAATCTTGGAATATAGCTCACAAAAAAAAACTTGTAGCCTTTTTTAATGTATTGCATTTGAAATTGATGCTCAAGAATCACAATGTGTTTTTAGCACACTCTTTCAATCGTATTATTTGGTATTTATTGGCTCAATTCGGTGTAAATTGAAGCTGATGGTCTCGAAAATTTGGTCGCGTTTTTTTATGATTTGAGTGTGTGTGAGCGAGTGAGTGAGTTAAGTGTGCTGATATTGAGTGGCCTTGATTGAACTTTATTAACATAATACACACTCGAAATCTCAAGTGTTTGGATTTGGATGCATTAATGAATGTGTGTGCATGGCGCACCCTTTTTCTAAATACTTACACAAAGTGTATCGGATCGACTGGGCTGCTGCATGGCATTAACAACAAAAAAAAAAAGAGTCGAAACACCGAAAAAAATATCCTCGAGCCAGAAGGTTTATTACATGTTTATATTTTGCCGATTTCATTCAAACAATGCAATAATACGCACTTTTCAATGTGGTTTCTTTCTCTATCCTTTCCCTCTCTCTGGCTCTTTTCTCCCTCGCTCTCTCTCTCATTAAAACATAGTACGCACTCATGCATTCATTAGTTTGTTGTCATATACGACGTATTTCGACTTGTGATTTGTTTTTTTGTTTTCATTTTGTTTTGAATTAGTTTAAAGAAGTGAAAAACTCAAGCAGCGTTCATAATTTGAAACAATTTTAGCTCAGCAGCAACAGCAGCGACGGCAGTAGAACTCATAATGGTCACAGAATGGGTTCGAATAACAGAGAGTTGAATGTGTGTTCATATAGCACATACAAACCATGGCCAAATCACAATCGAATCACATTCAAAATGTGTAACGCAATCGTCACAGTAACAAAAGAATTATTTCATTATCGGTTGCCACTTTTCGCTTGTTAATCCTGATGTTGCTAGTGCCGATGTCAAATATTGTGATTTTAGTCTATTGTTTGAATGTCGTTGTCGTTGTTGTTGTCATTGTCGTCGATATATGCTTCTCCGGCCAACATTTTCGTTAAACACATTGAGAATGAAAAAGAGCGAGAAAGGACCAGAGAGAGAGAGAGAGAGACTGAACGAATAAGAACTCATTTCGAGCGACTTGTATTATTTGTCGACAAGATTTTACATTCAGAGAACGTACAGAATGCTGTTTTCTGTGTGCATTCATTTGAAGCTCGTAATTGTAACAAAAAGCCGAGGCAACGATGCACGATCGACACCATTTGCGACACACACAAATACACATTCAAAATCGAAAATTCATCAACAGAAAACTTGAGTACAACAAAAACAGCAACATCACAGAGCACAAGAGTAGAAAAAGAAAGAAAAAAAAATATACACACGACGAAAAAATTACTTTAAAATCGTCTGGCTGTTGACAGTGAACCGTACCACTTGTGCTTTTACGATTCCGTTTTTCGTTTTTGTTTTTCAATTTCAATGCCTTCTCTTGTTTTGTTTGTATTTACTGTTTTTCAATGCACTTGATATGGTGCTCTTGATATTATACGCATCGATAAAATTCTGTGATCCGTTTTCTGTCGACTTTTTAATGTCTTTCTACTGGAGTCACACGGCACACAATTCTTTGGAATTCAGATTAAACATTATATGGCTTTTTAACATAAACAAAACTCTTACATTGCAGACTGTCAATCGATCACGCTGTTAAAGATTTGTCATAGCCCTATGAAACTGTAACAATCATTAAAAGTTCTTCTTCTACGAACAAAACGGAGAACATTTTTTTCCTTTCGTCAACACATGAATTTCATTGACTTTTATTTTGGCCGTGCCACTGCAGTTGAACACACACACACACAAACAGTGACTCACCACTGGCTGCTTTATTTTCAATCAGCGTTCATGCATTCATCTAAAAAAGCCACATAATAGCACGTGTACTTAACGCGCCGTCAACATATTTTTTTTTTTTTTTTGCTTTTTTATTGTTTGAATTTAGTCAGCCGAAATAGTGTGACATTTTCAACGCCAAAGAACTTAACTCAACTGCATCAAAACGTACCAAATTAACGGCAATTGTTTTCAACGAATGAATATTGGGAAAAATACACACCAATATTTTGATCAAACTGGATCTTTTAACTTCGTTCGGATAACGAAAGACACTGAAAATGTCAATGTTTTTTCTGTTCACTGAAGAAAAGATTTTCAGGTTTTTCATTTTGACATTTTCCTTCAACGTGGTGGTCAACAATTTCATATAATTGGTAAAAGAATCTTAAACTTTTCACTTCTGTTTATCACTGCAGACACTATTGCTTCTGTTCAATAATGGAGTTTTTGTTACGGTACAGAGGGACGCGAAGACAAAAGCCGAATTGCATGCCGAAACAATGGAATTAAATTTATTGCACATTTTATTGTTTTGTGAGCATTCAGTATTTTAGGTTTTCCAGCAGCAACAGAACTTTTCTATTTTTCATTTCGAGAGCACACTCCGTGGAGTATCTTAATTCAATGGCGTACACTCTCTCTTTTCATTTTTATGTGAATCAAAGTGTGAGGAAAGAGCGAGATAGATGATGAAAGATAGAGAGAGAGAGAAAGAAAGAACTATAAATAAACCTCTTGCGTTCGTCTAAATCTCTCGTCGAGAGACATACATAAAATTTATGATGAAAGAGAAAAAAAATGGTAACTGTTCATTATTAAGTACTTAAAATGCAACAAACTTCTGTGTTTCACTGACTTATTATTCTTCTTGTGCCCTTCTGTAAAACTGTTCGAGGCTATTCTTTATATAAATTTGTTGTTAATCAAAGGAAAACAAATACTTAATATTGTATTAATGTGACAACAACAATAAAATCCAAGCGAAAGAGAAAAAAGGAACCAACATTAAAATCTGAACGACACAAAAAAAAACAAAAGAGAAAATATTACACAATAACATGGGTTAGTAGTGAATTGTGTACGAATAACACATTGCCATAGTTTTGCCATGGCATTCATTCATATTTTAATGTTTAAAAAAAATTGAAAGAATGAATTACATTAAAATGTACTTGATCAGCGAACAGAGAACAAAAAGGCAGCAGCACTAGTGCTTGGTACAAACACATACTCTCTCGCTCTCTATCTCTCTCTCTCTCTCTCTCTCTCTCTCTCTCTCTCTCTCTCTCTCTCGACAGAAAATAATTTACAATGAAGTTGTAATTTACACACTTAACACATTAGTCGATTTGTTGACCGTAAAAATTGGTCGCTCTCGCAACATTTGAATTTGATGAAGTTATGTGTGGTGGCTCTTGTTCATTTCATAATTTATGCGCGCTCCCATATATAACATATAAATTAGAATTTTGAATAGAACGACCGATGCATGGCATGCATTTGAACCCCCTAACTTGTATAATCACACAACGTGAACGACATAATATGTTGTTGTTGTTTGGTCCTTTTTCTCTGAAAAAACCTTCATCAATTAGTTTGAAAACGTTGAAATGTTGGTTGTGGTAATTTTGCATATTTTTCGAAATTTGTTCAATTTTCTTGTGAAATGATAATGAACAACGCTAAGAAATGAATGAGAAATATGTTGTTGATTTTTTTTTTTTTTTTTTTTCAAATTAAAATATGTTAAAAAAAATTCAATCGGTCTAATTGCGTTTTTCCCGTTTCTTCATTTACAGATCCATATCAAATGTTTGGTCCAACGAGCAGTCGATTAGCAAGTTCAGGTATGTATAATGTTTATTTATTTTTCAACACGAACTACAAAAACTTCCCGGAAAATCAAAATGATATTCTCAGAAGAGAAGTGACGATATATTATCGCGACTGAGAACCGAACAAAGAAGAAAAACAAAGCTTATTCGTGGCCAGGTGAAATTAAAAACTAGAAACAATAAAAAATGCATTGCTGCTGATATTCAAGGGTCGACAATAAAAAGTCGAAAATATGAAAACGAAACTCCTTCGGTCGAATGACTAAAAAATGGATTTGTAGAATATGCGGTTGGATTGAAAATTGATTTTAGGCTGATATAAAGAGCAAGTGTGCTATAAGCAGCGCATTTGCATTGACGGGTGTATATGTTATTGTGCATTTGCTTGCTGTAATGGAAATTAGATGCATATCTGAACACTTTATTGGACACTTTATGCACCTATGCTCCGAACATTTTTTTTTTTGAGAATGTTTCACCACCACCAACACCATCATGTGAACGGTGAAATTGGCTCAAGACGACGGCCAATTAACCATACTGTGTGCGACTCAAGCATTTTACTCAACTTGAACTAAAACCATAACAGTGAGGCCTTTGTAAAGTCGCTTTATTTCTAAAGCCAACAGCAAAAACGCCAATTAAAAAAAAGAAGTCAGTATCATTTATTTGTGGAGTTGAGTAGCCCTGTATGTCCTTAAACCCGAAGCTGTAAATATGGTGTTGCTGTTGCTGCTGCTGCTGCTGCTGCATGCCAGTAAAAAAAAGAGGTCAAACGAGCAATATGCTTCATGGCTTTCTCCACCAGCTGACAAAAGTTGATTTGAATTTCAATAAATGCGCGGATAATGTACCGTTGATTTTGTGTATGTTTGGATTTTTTTTCGTCGTTCATTTTTCCAAGTAGAGAAAAACAAAATTATGTAAAATTATGCAAAATAAATTCGAACGGGGTACACGGCTTGCACACGTGCATAATATATAATATAGGCGCAGTGAACTCTTGCTGAAAACTAAAAACAACAACAATGAATCAGATGACGTTGTTTGCCACTTGAAAAATATTATACCTACTTGTGAATGTATATATTTGTGTGTCCAATTCAAAGTGTTCATATATGCATTTTCTTTCGTTGCGCCATCGCTCACACCACACTTTATCTATTAAACAAAATGAATCACTGAACTATGACTTTAACATTTTTATGCGCCGTGTGTGCGTGTATATCGTTTAATATTCATAACAGCTTGCCCCTGTGCATTTCTATTATCGCGGCTGGTGTGAATCACATCACAGAATAATCGCTAATAAATTTCAGCAACAGCAGAAACAAAAATTACCCGAGCGACCAAGAAAAAAATGTGGAGCAAACGAAGTTAAAATACTGGCCGAATGAAAATGTAAAAAAAAACACCAAAGAAAATTGTAATAAATCAAATAAGGGCGTAAATATTGTGTGTTACATAAATTGTAAATCTGTTTTTTTCCTCTTTAGTTTTTTATGCTCTCTCTCTCTCTCTCTCTCTCTCTCTCTCTCTATTTCTATCTTACTCGGTCCAACTCAATTCTCAACGACGGCGACGACTGTCGCTAACTTGATTGTTTTGATTTGATTGCACACACTTTAAAAATACATATGCATATGTTTCACACACGCCGAAAAAATAGAAGGTGTTGCCGGTACCCAATTCTTTGTTCGACTATTTAAACGCGTGTATCAACGGCGCAAATAAAAATGAACAAATTATTAAGTAAATTTATTACATGACAACTAAAATGCACATTCTATCAAGTTGGCCTATCTATATGGACAGCACTTTATATGGGGGTCGTGCGCGAGTCACGTGCCATTTTATTAAATAAGAAATCGAGAAACCAAATAGACCCATTGTTTCTTTAATTTTGTTATTACTATATCCATAACGGCTACAACCGAGTATCAGGTCTATAATTGATGCAATTCACGTGATTTTCTTATTCTACGTCTGTTCTTCTTCGAATTTAAATCCAATAAAACAAATAACCGATTATCAATTGGAATATTTCGAATTTTTATAATTATTTTAAAAAATCAGAAAATGTCACTTCCAATTTTAATCAAATTGGAAATTTTATTTAAAATTTAAAATAAACGAGAAATACTATAAAAAATGAATGATTTTTGAAATAAAACTGAAACCAACTTTTATCCGTTTCGATCCCCAGAGACTGTAAAAATGACAAAGCATACTGTGTAAATAAATCCAATTGCAGTTTCCCCCGTGAAACATTTTTGCCGTCGGTACAGTGTTGACATCATTCAAATGATTTTATTGAAATAACGACTCAATTTAAAATTGTTTGTGTGAATCTATCCGAATGACCCATAGGTAACAACGTAGGTTCCATGGAATCGTTGAAATTTTCATCGTTAATCAACGGCATAAATATTTTTATGCACAGTGCATAATGTTCAATTATTTTGTAATTTTTCTTATTCGTTTCTTGTAGAGTCACGGTCTCAAATTTTGACTCAGCATAAATCGAAAAGTGGTATAGTTTATTGTGTGTGTGTTGCGCGAAATGTGGGGTGTCTTGAAAATAGCGGGCGGGCGTTAAAAAATGGCAAATGGTTTGCTATCCTTGCGATGAACAGTTGAAAGATATTTGCGATGATGATGAGTCGATAATTATTTGAGCAAATGGACGAGTTTTTTTTATTCTGGCATAGCATATGAAATCATAATAAATGAAAATGGGTGCGCCAAATTCACCCATCGTATATGTAAGATATCTCGTTTGCAAACTCCTGCTAGGCATTGGGTGCGTTTTCTTTGAACAGAATTGAGTGAATGTGATTTTTGTGGGTGCTAATACGCTCGATTAAATTTTCATCATAGCATTTAGTGTGAATTTAGTGGCAGATAGCCGAGCGAATGAGATAGAAAGATGGGGTGGCATTTGTGCGTGCTCTTGCTTGTTACGTGCGCGCTTCTATTGACTGACGATGCACAAATTGTTGACGACTCGCCTTTGATGAATAGCAAACAGTACATATAATAACAACAATCAAGCCCTTATTTTGGCCCATTTAGTCGAAAATAGTAGTTGTTCGATATTTTCATTTTGATTCTTGCATGTCATACACCGGCCACATCACAGCAGCAACAACAACAGCAGCAGCAATGAATCAATCGCCACATGCAATGTGATTTGTGAGAATATTCTGCCATGTAAATAGCATTTTTACCATCGAATGCGATTAAATGTGATTCAGGAGTCTTTTGTGAATACAAACGAGCAAGTAGAGACGAGCGTTTGCGTTTTTCTGTAGTGTAATGACGAGAAAATCGGTCGAATTTTGTGGGGCAAAAAGGAACACAAATGCCCTTTATAAATAATTTTCTAATGATTATTGATTATGATGGATGATGTGACCGGTCGCCCTTAATTTGACTTCTTCTCAACTTGCCAGCCCACACACACACCGACCAATTCTTTCATCAAGTTCTTGAGATCATCAGTCTCTCTGTGTGTGTTGCACAAGCTATGTGATTTTATTTATCGCTTTCTTGCCACTTTCATGTTCAACATGCTTTTTTTTATCGTCGGTTTTTGTTTTTGTTTCGATTTTAATTGCACTCAATTTCACATAACATGCAATCGCTTTTGTGATCGACTGACGAATATCAAAACAATAAGAGAGACAGACTTAATGCTACATTCTGATGGGAATTTTGTTTTTGTATATCTTTTTTTTTCGTGCTGGCAGCCATACACACAGCGAATTAAACATTTGATTTTCATTTTATTTCGCTTACAGGTTCCGGTCAAATTCAACTTTGGCAGTTTTTATTGGAGCTACTCAGTGATTCAAGTAATGCAGGTAAACAAACACACTCTTTTGGATCGCATTGCATACATAGTATTCGCCATTGTAATTTATTTGTTATCAGTTCGTAGTTATCTTGACGTAAGAGTAAAAATACCGAAATGGCACAAAAACAGAGCCAAACGAAACATCGAAAAATTAGATAAAATTGCTATTATTTTGAACGCGCATTTTATTCGCTTGAAATAGGGGCAATCTCGGATAAATTAGCTTACTATTTTTCCATTGAACTGTTTTTTTTTTTTTCTTCTTTTGCTCTGTTTCATTAGAGAATGCGTTATGTTCAATGTTCTGGCTGAGCTATTGATGTTGTTATTTGTATTGCGATTTTTTGATGAACACGAAATGAAATAGATTTGGTTAATTGTTGGTATTTTTCTGTTTTTCTCTTTTTTCGTTTATTTTCGCAAATTGCGTCAATTGCGTTACACACGAACAAAAAAAAATATAGCTGCCATTACATGGGAAGGGACAAATGGTGAGTTCAAACTAACCGATCCAGATGAAGTAGCGAGACGCTGGGGTGAACGAAAATCAAAGCCAAACATGAACTACGATAAACTAAGTCGCGCATTAAGGTAATTCATTTAGTTTTTGTTTTTCACTTTTACGAAATTCCAACGAGACATTGACAGAGAGAGAAAGAAAGAAAGAAAGTTGCATTCGTTTGATTTATCAAAGTCGAAAAATGGCCCATTTCAATCGTGATTTGATTGTCGATAATTTTCTGCTTTGGTGACATGTGTTTCAATGGTTGTCTCTCATTCGATCGTCTGTTATTGGAAAAATTAAGAAATAATTGACCCTAGTTTTTGATGTTGTTGTTACACAAAAATGCCTGCCATGTGGCAAATCGGGCCAATTATTTTTCGGTAAATTGAATCAAGAGACAGAAAATTGTCATTTACGATAGAATTAGCCAAGAATAAATTCATATTGGATAAATACAGCTAACAACAAACAAAACAAATATCGTACAAATCGATTTTCTATCTCCCATGGGACCAATAAATAACATATTCAATAAAAATGTACAATATTTTAACAAATTTTTCTTATAAATGGGCATTTTTGCAGGTATTATTATGATAAAAATATCATGACAAAAGTGCATGGCAAACGTTATGCATACAAGTTTGACTTTCAAGGATTAGCCGCTGCTACACAACCGACCGCCACCGATCCAGCATATAAATATCAAAGTGATCTATTCATGACGCCGTATCATCATGGCACCAAATTGACATCATTCATGAATCCACACCATGGTATCACGTCTTCATCTTGTAAGTACAGCCACTCAAGCTATATAGAACTTTTTTAATGACAATTCAAAATTAAAAAAAAAGTCCAACGAAAAATGTGTCCTTTTGAAAAACGAAAAAAGCAAAAAACACCGACTTTTTTCGAAGTCTTGAAATAAGCTAAAATTTGTGTTTTTTTTAAATTTCATTTGCAGCCTCGATATTTCCATCAGCTGCATCATGGGGCAATTGGAGCAGTCCGGCAACAAATATCTATCCATCGCATTCGATGAGCCATGTAACACCGTCGCATGTTGCACCACATTTAGGCTCATATCCGCACTACGCATAGCAGTCAACATCAAACTCATTCAAAACAGAGGTCAAATATTCTAGCAATCAATACAATTTATAAGTCTTTCCTCATTTCATTTACGATTTTATTTATTTATTAACTTTTTTTCTTCTTTAAATCCTAATTTCCTTTTCGGGTATTCTATTTATTTATTAAACATTTTCCGCATTTTCTTGGACGAAAGAAAAAGACATTTGTTCCAATAAAATGCTTAAGTTAGACGAAAGATATGTATTTATGTACTCGTCATTCAGTATTAGGCTTGCTAAGAGTAAAAAAAAAACACACACAAAAACACAAAAAATATATTTATTGGTAATAGTAGTAATTGATGATGATGATAATGAAAGATAAAAAGAATAGCCATAGAATTAATGTTAATCCGTAAAAATTAAATTATAAGTACAAACTCTCAATGTGAAAATTGAGGTACACAAAAAATCTTGCAACAATATTATTATCGAGGCCGTAGAATATTTTTTGGCCATGAATAATGTGAGTTTTCATATAGCCCCAACAAAAGAAGAGAAAAAAAAAACAAACAAACAAATGAAAATGATACATTTCATTACCCCCTTGAACAGAGGAAAACAAAAACTTTAATCAATGGAATCAAATCTAAGAGCATAAATTAAACTGATCGTTATTATAAATGCTAGTCATATTAGAGTATGTGTATTTAAATGTGTAAAAAAAGCAACCAGAAACTTACTTTCCTTTTTTGATTACATTAAATAATCAATTAATTTATCCTACTAAAAAGCATTTAATGTGTAATCAACAAACCAACAAAAAAAATTAAACATTAATAACCATAAAAGAGTATTATAAATCTAAGCCGTAGTTATAAGACGAAATCAATGAGGTGTTGAGAAAAGAACAAACAAACAAAAAAAATTGACAAAATGATGCAAAACGTGGCCAACAAACACATCTACTATATTATAGCATTCAAACCATTCCATTCTGCAAATCAATTTTATCGATTAACTCCAATGCATGTTCTTCGAAAAGAGAAAAATGTAAAGAGACCAAGACACATTTAAATTGCTTGGTACTCTTGCATATTGGGTGAACTCAATTCAAAATCAAATAATATGGATATTGAACCAGAATCAAATCAAACGGAAAAAACAACAAAAATTTAATAAAAATACAAATGTATCAGAATCTTCCCATCGAACGTACACGCCAGAATCATTAAGAATTGAGATGAGTGACAGCTATTCGGAAAGCAATTACTAACACTATAGCTAAAATATACGTAGTAGTATTAGTTGACAAGAGAAAAAAAAATCGTCTAAAAATACATTTATTGAATGTCAATCCAAGAGACAAAAGATCTATTGAACAAGAACGACAAAAACTACTTAATTTTAAATTAAAAAAAAAAAATCAACTAATTCTAGTCAAATGAAACCAAAAAAATAGCAATAAATATACCGTTGACATCATTGATCGCCGACTAAATAAAACATTTGAAATCAATCGAATCGAAAATTGTTTTCGAAGGATTTTTTTTTTCTCAAAAAGCATATACTAAAGAAAAAGTAATATATTTAAAGAAAAGAAATTGTATGTGTGTGTATTTTAATGGAAACGAAATTTAAATGTTGCAACCAAACAACAACAGCAAAATATCCAAAACCATAAATTAGTCCAAAGCAAAAAAAAAAAATACTGAAAATAGTCCTGCAGCGTTTGTAGTTGAAGTATAAATTTAAATGTGACAAAAACAAAGAAATCACATTCATCGAAATGCAACATGAAAGCAAATTAACCGACTTTCTACCACAAAAGTTCATCAACTTCCGTTCAAAACATTATCCCGTTCTTCTTTATATCACCCAAACCAAAACCAACTCAAAACCCATCCACATACTCCCTTGCACCACCCAATCTCAACACACATATTCTGTTGTATCACTTCACAAAGCCAAAAAAAAGAAGAAAGTGTTTTACATTCAAACTCTGTATGTATATGTACTAAATTTAAACATTTGCAGTGATGTTTTGTCATTCCGTAGAATATATTCTATTGTATAAAACATACTAATAATATTATTAATAATGATGATGATGATAACAATAATTATAACATCAACAACAACAAAAAAAATATAAAATTCAACAAAAAATGGAAATTTAATTAAATCTATAAATTTTAAAAATGTCATTGTGGATAATTACAACTGGAATCTAAAATACATAATTCATCTTAAAGTGAGAACAAAAAAAAATATATGATGCATCTTTATTTATTTGCTTTCATTGAAAAAATTAAAATTTCACGAAGAATGTTTCAAATGGATTGCAGGATAATTTTGAAGTGGTAAGCGATGTGTTTTCTTTCTATGCTAATTTTCTTTTTCATTCAACTAACGTTCTTTGAGGTGCTTAAGTTTAGTAATGAAATTTTTGTGATACGCAATCATTTTGTTCTGTTACTTTTAAATTATGCAGTCATAGTTAAAAATGGTGATTATAAATGAATTAATAAAGAAAATGAATTGGAATTATGGCACTCAACAGAAACCAATTACATTATTTCGTTTGGTGTAGTAAGCTGTTTGATAAAATGACGTGTTTTCTAAGTAAAAAGTAACACACAACTTGTAAAAGCATACACAATTAGAAAAATATATATAATTGTGTCTGAAATTTATAGAAACAACCACTCAACCGCATGAAAATCGTTGATCTCTGAAAAAAACTTTTTCAATCGTTTCATTTCATGAGATTAAATATAAATCTTCACAAAAATTCAAAACATTTTGTCCATTGATACTTTTTTGTGGTCGAAATACTCCTGAAGTTAGGCAATCCAGTCAAAATTGATATGCATATCGTTTTCACAATTATTATTATTACTTTTGAAAAATCAATCAGACTTTTTCGCAATTGAATTAACACATCAAAATTGTACGTTTTATATGTAAATGATCAGCTGCTTCACGGGACTCAATAGCAGCTGTCCAAAGTTTGTGCAATTGGTGTGAGTCTTGTATAATGCCTTTGCATGTTACACCTTATTTATGTTATGTTTTAATCCTGTGCTACGTGAATACGCACAAATATATCAGCAAAAGGTCAAGCGTACTGGTTAAATACATTTTCTTTAAATGCGCACATCATATTTCGCTGAATTGAAAATCGAGCAGCAATACGCAAATTCTAAAAATATGCGGTGACGTTAAACAAAAATGAGAAAGAGATACACGAAAACTTGGAAACTTACGAAATCTTGGAAAAAGTAATTACCTCCATATCGAGGTAATAAATCGAGCAAGAAAAGCATATCGAGTGAATTTTATAAATGGATTTTTTTTAATTCAGATGAACTTTGATTTTTATTCCATCTTAACTAATCATTTATCAATTTGAAGCGAAAAAACCAACAATATATTTCAACAACAATTCTTATATTTGTTGAAAAATACCGTTTGTGATTTAAAATCTACTTTTTGAAGAGATAACAAAAAAGAAATGTTCTCAAAAATGTGATTTTCTCAAAGACGAAAAAGGTTTTAATTAAAAAATATTAAGAGTTTCAAAAGATGACAATTATTATGCAAAGAGATTTTTTTGCCATCAAATCAAATCACATATCAATTGAATGACAAATTTTTTTTTATCATTTTAATTGAGTCTAAGATAAAGCATAATAAAAGTGTGTAAATTGTTGATCCAAAGTTCGACGTAAAGGAGATCACATTTCGCATATTTCTAAAGTTAAAAGTGAACTACATACCAAATCGTATTTGGCATGAGTAAATGGAGAAAAACCCAGCCAAAGTGAACCGTTAAAAAAAGCCGCGATACAGACTGTCTCAAGACTATACATTTATACATGACGTACAACGTATGTGTCTACTGCGCATACGTATACTATAAAATAGTGTATTTCGAATGACGATACACGGTCATTACTCATACTACATGTTTTCATCATTGAATTTCGCTTTCAGTCGATCTAAATTGCTTCAAGTATTGACATCAAAATTGTTTTTTTCTCCATCGCCAATATTTTATTCGGTTTTAACAAAAAAATGGCAGTGAATACAAATCGTCATTTTGGCAAAGGTAAATATTCAATTCAATCGATTTCTAATGGAAAGCACTTGTGCTAATCGTAAATTGAATTTGTTTACATGCATCGGTGTTTTCAATTTGAAGTCGTATGTTGTTTATACAACAAATTTTCAACAAACATGACGTAAGCGCGTATAAATAATCTACTATTTTTTGAATACAGGATCAAGTGAGCCATCATTCTCGAACGATGGTAAATTACGTTTGTTCTCGATGCGTTTCTGTCCATTTGCCCATCGAGTCCATCTTGTATTGAATGCAAAGAACGTTCCATATAATGTTGCCTATATTAATTTGTCTGAGAAGCCAGAATGGTATTCTGAAAAATTACTTAATTATTATTGATTGTTTTGCGATTATTCTTCGATTACTTATCGATTATTTTAAATTTTATTCTTTCCTTTTGTGATTCTCCCCTTAGGTATTCTGAAGTGAATACAACTGGTAAGGTGCCAGCTTTACAGCTGGTCAACGAACCAAATCAACCATTTTTGGTGGAATCAATGGTGATTGCTGAATATCTGGATGAAAAATATCCCGAAGTTAAACTTTATCCCGAAGATCCATTTGATAAAGCTCAAACAAAAATATGGATTGAACGTTTCAACCCGATTGCAGGCGCTTTCTATCGCTTGGTTTATGAACAAAATCCAGACGATGTTAATGCACAATTGTTGAACACATTCTACAGTGAACTTGGTAACTACGAAGCCGAATTGGTGAAACGTGGAACGAAATACTTTGCTGGAGCAAAACCGGGCATTTTTGATTACGCCATTTGGCCATGGTTTGAACGATTCGGCATTCTTAGCTCAGTTGTCGGAGAGAAGTATAACTTTGATGATAGATTCCCGACATTGGTAAGATACATCACACACTATCAATTACATTTCAATTTATCATTTTAAAATCAATGAAAATTAAACACACACACACACATCTATTGTACAGGCTAAATGGCTTCATGCTACCCGTGAAGATTTGGCAGTTCAAAAACACTTGTTGTCAACATACACTCATACACAATTTTCGCTTGGTCGCCGTGCTGGCACTCCACATTATGATCTTTTAGTAGAAGAATCCTAAAAGCATTTCTCCAGTGCCCAAAATCTACATATATCCATCATCACAAGTGCTTTTTAAATTCAAATTGAGGAATTTTTACGGTTTTAAAGTTATAACAAATGTTTTCTGTTCTTTTACATGCACATATTATTCCTCACGTATTTCAAATACGATATTTGTAAGCAAATAATAAATATAGTAAAAAAAATCATTTCAAAATGTATTTGTATTTCATTTGTTTGGTCAAAATGCTCATTGGGCACATCAAAAGAGTAAGGTTATGTTTAACAACAACAAATAGATCGGCTCTCAACTCGATGCAAATTTTTTTCAAAACTAGTTGTGATTAGAAAATATCAGTGTATTGGGCATGTGACACGTACTTATATTGATTTATCAGTTATCGTTTTTAATTGCGCACCATGAACAACACCAAGCACTTTCGTAAAGGTATCAGTTTTAATTTAATCTGTCATTTTCGGAACATATTAATCTTTTAATGAAAATTTGTTGATATTTTTCGTGTAGGCGATGAACAGCCGACTTTCCCTGACGATGGAAATTATCGTTTGTATTCAATGCGTTTTTGTCCGTTCGCTGCTCGAACGCATTTAGTATTGGATGCAAAAAATATTCCATACCATACGGTCAATATTGATTTAAAAGATAAGCCCGAATGGTTTTTCACCGCAAATCCGCTGGGAAAAGTGCCGGCATTGCAATTAATGGATAAGCCAAATTCACCATTTATCTATGAGTCTTTATTGATTTCTGAGTATTTGGACGAAGTGCATCCACAAAATAAACTCTATCCAAGCGATACGTTGGCCAAAATACAGGAGAAAATTTGGATTGAACGTTTTTCGTCGATTGCAACGAAATTTCATCAAATGTTCACCGATGGTAATTCGCAATGGAACGAAATTCAAAACGGTCTTGATGCATTCGAAGGGGAATTAAATCGTCGCGGTACCACATACTTTGGTGGTGAAAAGCCAAACATTTTGGACTATTCTATTTGGCCGTGGTTCCCACGGACCGAAGCACTTGATGTTATTTTTGGCGATGGTTGCACATTCAGTGATGCACGTTTTCCGAAATTGGTACGTAAATGACCAATGTTTTTCAGTTATTGTTCAAAATTTTAAGCAGAAAATGTTTCAAAAAAAGACATATCTTTAAATAGAAAAGAGTAAAAATTGAATTCGGTTTTTTTCGCAGAAAAAATGGTATAAGTCATTGCTCGAGAACGATGCTGCTGTGAAAAAGTTCGCCTATCCAAAAGAGGCATATGTCAAATACTACAAATCACGGCTGGCCGGCAATCCAGATTTTGATGTTTTGGTACAATGAACTTGAGATTCCATTGAAAGCGAGAAGCGTTGAAATGTGATCTTCTTGCATGTATTAATTTTTAATTTTTCTTGTACTTTTCAAAAGAGCGTTCGAAAAAGTATGGTTTTTCGAAGAAATAAAATGATGAATTGTTTGGCAATCCAATAAAAAACACCATGCTTTTTTTAATTATGAAATTGGGTTTTAATTTTTTATTTTTATCAATCTTTTTATTTAAAACGGAACTTGAATTAAATATTCAAAGATTTATTTTTTGCCACCCTTCTTGGCTTTGACAGCTGCAATACGAACTTTACGGTCTTTCTTCAAAGTTCTTGCTGTGCCATCGGCCTTAGTTCTCTTCTTCAAAGTGTTATAGGCGGCTGTCAAAAGCTTGTTACGTGCTTTCTTGGCATAACGCAACTTGAAGCGTTCGAAGTCATTCAATGAGGTGCGCTGCGCAAATGAGATGAAAAAAAAACACAAAATTAGAAAATATTCGCATTTTTCTCCAATTGAAAAATAAAAAATCAGTTCAAATGTGTGTGTGTGTTGTTATTGTGCAATTCAGTTTTTGCAATTCCGCTTCATTTGGGTATCAGACGGCAATTCCTATATATATATTTTTACAGGATCATCATATACGACAATAACAACACCGCCACTGAATTCGAACCGTCGAAAATACGTCAATTAAAAATCAATTCATAGTCATACCTTCTTAACGTCCTTTGCTTTTTGTGCCCATGAGCTGGCTTCCCATTTGGCCTTGATATCAGCGTTTTTCCAGGCTTTACGGACGACACGAGTTGGTGCATGGTATGGGAATTTGACGGCGAATTTTGTCAATTGCAAATTGTTCAAGCGGTATGCTTGACGTGTAACACCGGTTTCTGGACCATCGACAAGCACCTGTTTAAATGTAAAAAGCAAATCAATGAAACAAAAAGTCACAAAAAAATCGATCAAATTCTTTTTCGGTGATTAAAGAATATTTCAGTGAAAAGTTGGCTTCATTTGGGTGTCAGCCGGCAATTCCTATAAATGTTTTTCAAGGATCATCATTGTCAAAGTGATTTGATTGTGCAATGTAAATAACAAGCGAAGTACATCAACAATACACAAAATCACACGCACCAAATTTTGCTGAAGTATTCTTCAAAAAGAAAATTGATCACTTACTCGAGTTTGATCGATGATATCGACGATTGTGAGGAGTTTGCCACGCAATGGGCCGGAAGTTGCTTTAGCAACACGTCCAGTTTCAACGTATCTTTCGAAAGGCTGCAAATAAAGAAAAGAGAGAAAATCACATTTTAGTTGAGGTTATGTTTCATCCGACACAAGGTTTTTTTCACAAATTTGTTAAATATATTCGATGAAATTAAAAAAATTGATTAAGAATTTTAAGGTCGCATTCAATAATCGAACGATATATTTTAAAATCATCAACACAATTGAATTGCAATCGAAGCGTGGTGCTATTGATATTCAGATAAAAGTTGTACCATGTGGCTTCTTTGCATTCGGTTCATGTAAAGTGTGCATTGTATGCGATTCGATACAAAATTCCGATTTATTTCACAAAATTTTCACGATATTTTTTAAAAATGCATTTCATATGCACGAATCACAATAAAACCATTTTCAAATTACACAAATTAATTATTTTTGCGCCACAAAACTATTGAAATTTCAAAAAAAATTCGGAGCACTCGTGCTATTTCTTACCATTTTGCACCAGAAAGAGAATGAAAAGAAAGATAGGAATGTGTGTTCAAATGAAGTTGCCTGGAAATGTCAAAAAAGTTTAAAATGGCGACGTTCAGAATGAAACATGAAACACACTCTCACAATAGCGACGACGACAATGTGCCATGCGTTCACATACTCATTGGGTTACCTGATGCATACCTTTTGAATTTATTCGTCCGTTTTGGCATGAAAATAAAAATGAACCAAATTTTGAAGTAACATGAAATGCTTAGAAGTTTAGTTAAATTGATCATACTTTTTATCGATTTATGAATTATTTTTTTTGGTTATTATTTCAAGAATTTTTATTTTAAAAAAATCATTTCAGTTCATCGAAACTTTTGTTTCTATGTGTATTAATTATATCATGCTATTAATATTCAAAAATAAATTACATTTTTATTGGAAAACAGTCCATAAGCAAATCAACTTACGATTTCAAATCTTGCCCTATTTGCTATTTCTATGTTGCGCATGTTCTTTTCATAAAAATTCAAAATGTTTTTTTCACAAATAAAAGCGACAAATGGTTCATTAAGAATTTTTTCAGATTGGCGTACGATTGATAGTACGGTGCAATCTTTTGAAAAAAATCTCAATGAAACTCAATATTATTCAACATCATTTTACATGTCACCGAACAATGTGCTTTATTTGTTCTAAGCGAGGTCTTATTTTTTGTCCATTCGGTGCTGGGGCACCATTCAGCCTGACTTGCTGCAGTGTTGTAAACATGTTTTTAATGTTTGGGCCGTTCAATGAATGTCCATTCAGGTTTTGTGTGAAAATCGGAAAATCTCTCTGCCGGACGATGGTTTTTCCTTCTCTCAGCAAATTTGCCAAATCTGCCAAAATCATATCGCTCTGTTGCGCAATTGCTTTTCGCACATTTTCCAATGGTCGTGGCGTCCAACCATTTGGTAATCCTCGTGCCTTTTTCCATTGTGCAAAAACTTTTCCCCAGCAACATCTTGCATCTAGCTGAAACGTTCATTCATCAACGAGGAAAGCGTATTGATATCGCTGGCCTGAGTTGAAAAACTGAGACAGAAAATAAAAAATAATATTAAAGTATGCATCGCTAAAAATCAATCGATGATGGCTCAGATCCAATTGAAAAATCTAAATTTGCTAGTCGTAGAACGTTGGATGCAAAAAATAAATGTGTCTGTTCTAACTTTGCAAAGAGAATACCTGCTCATATCTGTTTTCGCCCGTTTTCCATTATTTGTTCTTCAAATGCCGCGAATTACCTGATGAATGAACATGTTTCGATTTTTGTTGTGAACTTGAACGGAATGAATATTTTTGGTTCATTTTCATATAAATAATAATAAAATAATACAGATTTATTACCACCACAATAAATTTAAATGATTCAATTGTAGTAGCTAATGGAATATTCAAAATCGAGAATTTAGTTTCATTGGGTTCGGTTGTGAACGGTTTAAATTGAGGAAGTACTGTATCGTAAATATTGTATGTGTCCAGTGGCAACCCTAAATATCTGTTGAATAACATTCATCAAAAAAAAAATTACGAACTATGCATGTGTGATGTCAGAAGCACTAAGTCACATCAAACGTCACACACAAACAAAGAAAAACAAAACGAACAGAGCTCTTTTTATCGTGTGGTCGAACTATTTTTTTTATTTTCATTCTTTTTTATTTGTATAAAACCAAACATATTTTACACAAATTATTGTCAACTGAATTATGTAATATTGTTAAAATAAGAGTTTATGAGAAAAAAAAATATATCGTGAAAGAGAAGAAAAAAAATGTTACCAAATTCCTCGCCAGTCCCAACGCCATCGATTCACATAAATCCAAGGTTTCGTAATGTGCATATTAATCCGAGCTTCCTCAGTAAATCGAATGCAATCAATGGCAAACCAATGGAGTCACCAGTTACTGTCACCGCACCAACCCAAATTTACATAAATCCCCGATTTTTAGCAAATCCATCGATGCAAGGTATAACCCAAACAACGATCTCTGCACCAATTCAAATCGATGAAACATTTTCACCATACAATATAACGGCACAAGAGTTTCACGAAACAAATACATTAGTCGCTGAACCGTTGGCCGATACAAAAATTCACACACGAACCAAAATTATTAAACCATCATTGGTTCATAAAATTGTCGATTTACCACCAAAAAACATTGAAAATTCAACGATGCATGGAAAAATGAACGGCGATACCAAAAAATCACTGATTAAAATTGGCTCCAATAAATTAGTACGCGTTTCAGCTAAACCGTTTGACAAAATGACAACGGAAAAAGCGGTGTCTACAGTGCGACGACCACTACAAACCAAGTACAAAATTATAAAAGAACAGACTGCATTCAAAATTGATCGAAGATCAGTTAAAGCAAAACGTGCTTCGATTACACAAAAGGTCACACCGTTCATTTCAAGTCTTATGAAGAAGCAATTGATCAATGAATTACTAACGCCAACAAAATTGATAAAAGGGTATGAAATCTATTAAAAATGTATTAAATTAATTATTTTTCTTTAAAACTAAAAACAATGCCTATTCAATTTCAGCAATACGATAAATCGTAGCTTAGTGAAAGCAACAACAAATTTACCATCTGTAACCGCCCACCGAAAATTATCATCGTTCTTGGAAATTAATGGTATTTTGTATAAATCAAATCAACGAAAACTCGAAAAAACAACACTCTCCACCAAATATTCGCTTCAAAAACCCACGAAGACACAATTATCATATCGTCGCCTCATTGTTCGTGGTGAAAACTTTTTACTGGATGCAAATGGAAAGAATTTGGTGCGAGTTCAAAGCAATGGAAATAATATGGTTAATGATACAGTTGCAAACCGAAAGCGAATCGACATCGGAAAGATAACATTTGTGAAAAAATCAAATGATACGTATGAACGTACTGATTTCCATAAGAGTCGATACCATTTAAATGTGGCCAAACAACGTAGTATTCAAATGTTGACAAATCTGGTGAAAACAAACGTTCCGTGCCCAATTTATCGTAAGCTCGGCAAATGCGCTGCATTCGTTCGCGGAAAATGCACAAAACTTCATGACAAAAAACTGATCGATGTGTGTCCAAGGTGTGTACATCTTTTCTTATTAATCATTGTTTGTTTTTGAATTGTGTCACTTTTAAGACAATTTTTTCTTTCATTCGAAAACAATCCAAATTATTTTAGATTTATCAGGGGAACTTGTGACAAAGATCCATGTCTGCTATCCCATAATACAACATTGTCAAAGATGCCAACGTGTAAATTCTACTTACTCGGAATGTGTTCGAAGACTGATTGCCCGTATCTACATAAGAAGGTCAACGATAAAGCCGGAATTTGTGTCGATTTTGTGCGTGGTTTTTGTGAGAAAGCCCAAGAGGTTGGCAAATTCGTTTCAATTCGAATCCAAATCTAATTATCATCTGTGTACTACTAGTTTTCGTCTTTTTTTCTCTTCTTTTTCCATTTTTTCTCGATTTTTTTTATTCGATTATCCAAACATCGTCGAAATTTGTATTCTAGTGTTCGAAGCGCCACGAGTTCCTGTGTGCCGAGTACCAAAGAAAAGGAAGCTGTAAATTAACCCGATGCCCATATCCACATCCAATTTTAAAGGAGTCATATCGATCATCGAAGCAAAAATCAGCTGAACGTCTCAAATTAAAGCGAAAATTGAAAACAGTGGAGAAGAAACCAAACATTCCACACGACATCGAAAAAACCACGGTGCAACGATATTTCGTAAAAGATTCGAATGATGAAAATAATCAAAATAATAGTGAAACGAGCTCCGGCTCAGTAAGTGCAAATGCAAACAAAAATGTTTCAACTGAAAATGTTGAACAAATTCATTATGTTAGAAAACCAATAGTAGGATCACTGCCATCGTTTATTCCAATTGGGTAAGTTTTAATTAATTCAAGAAAAGATCAATTGAAAGAAAAAAGAATGACATTTTCGAAAAAGTCAATTTCCAATAGAGAGACACAAAAAAAATAAATGTAAATAAAGAAAAATCAGTAATAAAGAGAGAAATCGTTATTTAACAAGAAAAATAATATAAACGCCTTGTTTTTTTTTTATTTAGTTTTCGTTTTTAAAACAAAATGAAACAAAATTAATGTCACTTTGGTTCGAAACTATGTTCACAACATAGGTAAATCTTTCTGTGTTTGCTATCGATTTTGATAGAGTAGTTGCCAATTGTTCGGGTGATTGTATGTAAGTAAAATCGGTAAATGCAAAAACAAACTAAAATTTGTTTCATTGATATGCGTTGAAACGGCAATCCAGTCGTCAAGGAATTTAATGAGTTCATCATTGGTCATATTTGATGCATTCAAACCACGCATAAAACATGAATCTCTTAGCGTTTCTGTGGTTAAAGTTTGTGTGCCACCTTCTCGTTTAATCGCCATATCAATATTATGAATACACATTGCACGAAATGTTAATTTCGATTTAATTGTAAAGATCCCTTTGATGCCATGCAGACCGGCCAAATGTTTCTGTATTTGTTGTGATTTGAGAGAAAAAGAAGAAAAAAAAAGAACAATTCAAAAACCAATCCAATACAACAGAGATTTGTTGACACTTACAATATGTGTATAGCTCAATGAAGACGTTTTGTATGGTATTTCAGCAAATAGTTGTTTAACAGCGATAATTTCGTCAACGGTTGGATGAATGCCGCTGCCTATTTTGCCCAACATGTCTTTCCACTGTTCATAGTGTTTATCATTGATTATTGTTGATAGTTTACTTTGTAGTGATCGAAAAATGGCACGATTATGTACGAGACGATCACGTAAATTTATCACAGCAAATTCGCTACGTTGTTGCAGCGTCCAAAAGTGATGCGTTAATAAGAAGCGCGGATACATATAGCTATAAATGCAAATACGATCAAAAAAAAATCAACATGTATACATTTATACTAATTGAATTGAAATTATGCTATGTATATCGGTATCTTACGCAATTGGCATTGTCACATAATGGGCAAATGGTATGGCCGATATAAAAATCATTGGTCCAACTTTTCTTATATCATGTGGCATTTGATAATAAAGTTCAAGTTCTCGTCGTGACAAAGATGTTTGATCTTTTCCTTGCATCAACATTTTACTACGTATTTTAACATAGTCAATGGAATCACGTGTAATATATTTTACACCATCCATAAATACACGATACACTTTCATTGCACCGGGAAACTTTTTCTCCAATATTTTTTCATAGTTTTTAATATAATTTATAAAGCGATTCAACGCATAACCACGTATATCGTCGCGAACATTTTCTGCTTTCTTTTGAGATTCCTCGATTCTTGTCCGGAATTTGGACAATCGATGCTCTGGCTTTTCCACCGTGCTACTATTTTCCAATTTTGATTTATCATTTTCAGGTGGTTCTTTTGTTGATCCATTGTCGCTTGTTGTCAACTTTTGCGATGGCCTACAAGTGAAAATTTTGTTTGTTTTTTTTATTTGTATTGCAATTTATATTTGAAAAAAAAGGGAAATAAGTTAGGTTAGATCACACAGTACTTGGCCGAATAGAATTTTTGCTGCAAAGCAATCGGACGATGATGACAACCTCTGGCTAATCCACGAATTAAAACTGATGCCATTTCGGTGTAGTTTTGTTGCTTTTTTCCCTATCGAATCAATCGCATGATCCGATGGGTTTTAAATATAAATTACACCGTTCCGTATTAGTTCTGTGTACACTGTGTTTATATTAAGCAACAAAGTTCACATTGGTATTGGTAACACTATTTTGACAATGACATTTTAACTGTCGGTTTCGAGAAACTTGAATGGTATAAGAAAAGGGACTCCCACTTACGCGCATATTTGTACTTATTTTGTCAAAACTGAGCAATTTCTTGTAGGAAAGTTTTGTTTAGTTTAGAAACTAATTTAAATTGGGCGAAAACTTCAATTGGGGATCAAAAACTATGAATGAGTATTTTTTTCAGAAACGGCTCAATTCAAAATGAGTATTAAAGAGATTGAGCGAATTTTAAGCTATATTTCACTCGTTTTGAGTAGATTTTCCGCTGTTCCCAGAGCGAAAGAGAGTACTTTGCTTCCCTCTCCCTGTGAATGTCTCTCGGTCTTTCGTTGGAAAATATGCTGCAACACAGTACAAAGAAGCGACTAAGTAAAAGAAAGAAGAAGAGTGAGAGAGAGAGATAAAGAAATTGAGCACGCATATTACTATGTGTGGAAAACGGAGGAAAATAAAAAAAAATCGACAAGAATTGAGCGATAAAATAGAAACATGAAAAACCACTGACATTTTCTCACACACGAAAGGCAATAGCATCTCGGCAATATTGAACGAAAACACTGTAGCAAACACCAGCAGCAGCAGCAGTAGCATTCAATCGTGATATATACATCAAATAAAACTGTTTTTCTTTCGTTGATTTTTTCCACACAACACTATTTGTATAAAATTAAATTTTTGTTGTTTTACATCGTTCATAACATGACGACGATTGACTTGTGTTTTCAACACACGAATTAATAATCACTTTTTGTTTCGATTCTAAAAATGAAACGATACCAATGGATATAGAAGATACATTAATTGTATAGAAAACAAATTGTGTTCAAAAATCTTATAGCAAAATGAATAGCACACATTTTCATTGAAATTAGTTATTATTATTTTCCAATTGCATTCTCTTTCGTTCGGTTTGGTGATATAAAAAGCGACCACACAAGAGACGGGGCATTCGACATACAGCAAAGAAAATTAATAAGCACGGTCTAATAAAATGAGAAAAATCACACATCAGCAATATCATTTTAATATCGATTTGTATAATGTAGCCAATTGTTTTGTGGGTGCTAACATAACAAATTATAACAAAAATTGAAAGTGATTGGTTTGATTTATTAATTTACACCAAAAAAAAAATGATTTATCTATCAATAAATTCGAAAGATAAAAAATAGTAACAGCATCAACATCATCATCAACGACAACGACGACGACAAGAATAAACAGCAACAACAAAAATTCTCAGTCTGCAATTCAAGTGGGAAAAAAGCCTGAAGTGTACAATTAAGTTTAGATAAATGAATCTAGTGTAAGGATCAAATTGTTTCTTTCACATTTTGTTTCATTTTATTTTTCGTCCTTCATTTGATTTGGTGTTTAACATAAGCTTGCTACAGCTGCTGTGTGACCACGCGTACTATAGTGAAAGCGAACACTGTATGCAACGCAGCGCGCGTGCAAATCTTTCTCTCTTTCTCTGTCTATGTGTGACTGTGTGTATGTGCGGTGCATACATTTGGTCAAAGTTATAAATCAATTATTATCTGTAGCCCCCGTGCGCGCGCGCGCTCCACATATATAAATACTAATATCCATCGTGCATCCGGTAGTAATATTAGAAATAATGGCTGTTGAAATTTTGGACGAAGATCATTTGGCCATCAGCGGTATTGTTACAGTTGTAATGCAAATCATCTTTTTTATAATTGCCGCTGCATTTCAATTGGATAAATTAACGGATTTTGCTGGTGGTGCAAATTTCATAATAATTGCACTATTAACATTCTTTCTCGGCCAAATAAATCGACCGACCAAGGTAAGATCTAGGAATTATTAACATTTGCCAACCGTTTTTTTCTTCTCTTTTGCATTTGAAAAAGCGAAATACAAAATCATCGCACACAATAAAATGCAAATGATGTAAAACGAATTTATTGTATTTCTATTTGTCTATTACATTATTTTTGTATACAGTCATTCGATAGTAGGCAGTTATATGTGACTTGTTTGGTATGTTTGTGGGGTGCACGTTTATCGGGCTATCTATTATACCGTGTATTCAAAATTGGACGCGATAAAGAGTTCGAGGATAAAAAACGGAACATTATTCGCTTTGCCGTATTTTGGACCTTTCAGGTATGATCCATTCTAGTTTTTTTGGCCGTTGGCGGCGCGTGCCGCACACAACAAACCCATTCATAATTTTCACTTTTTGTTCGCAACCCACTAATAAAATGCAAATTTTATTTTCGTTCATTTCTGGAAAAATATATGTGCTCACAAGTCTCTCTCTCTCCCTCTATCTATCTCTTTCACTGCAAACTAAAACATCCAACGAAAAACATAACAAAAATGGTTGCAGGCGTTGTGGGTATTCGTTGTTTCACTTCCTGTTATTCTAATTAACTCACCCCGTCACGCACAATACAACAAAGCACCGCGTACTATGACCACCATTGATTCAATTGGCACAAGTATGTTTGTTATTGGCCTTCTGACTGAAACATATGCGGATTTGCAGAAATTTTCATTTCGCCAAGATCCAATAAATCAAGGCAAATTTTGTAATGACGGTACGTATGACTGCATCGATGGTTGAACGTATGTGTTTGGTATATTTTGAAATATGTACGGTTTTTCGTTTGCCAAAAGCTTTGCACAAACAATATACGATTAATGAACCAAACACATTCACAAACCATAACGAATTCGTTATGCTTGATTTTGCATTGTATTTGACTTTATTTTCCATTCTTCTTCTCTCTTTTTTTTTCGATTTTGGTGAATTTTGTGATAGGTCTATGGAGTATGTCGCGGCATCCAAACTATTTTGGTGAAATACTCATTTGGTGGGGTGTTTTTGTATGTTCGATCAATGTCATTCGTGGAATTGAATGGATGTGCATAGTGTCACCATTATTTACAACATTAATTATATTATTTTTATCCGGCATTCCATTGCGTGAAAAATCATCCGATGAAAAGTACAGACAGTACGTATTTTGTTTTGAATAATTGTTCTTTTTTTTTAAATAAAATTCATACCAATTGTTTAAATCATAGCCTCTGAAGATCCAATGACAATGGTTCGAAGAAAAATATTAAAATTTGCAAAACGTTCATCTTCCGAATCTATGGTTTAAATATCTTGTCATTTCTAATTTTAATACTTTCTCTCTATTGAATATGTTTGTTTGACGCAATGTGCAGTAATCCAGAATATCGTAAATATAAAGAATCAACATCGCCGTTGATACCAATCCCACCGTCAGTTTATGTTGAAGTTCCATCCGCGCTAAAGTTTATCTTATGCTGTGAATTTCCGTGGTACAATTCGTTGGATATAAAACGTAGCGAGCACAGTTCGTATGGCGTATCAATGGCACATTCGCATTCACACATTCATACGCATACATAGCAGTCGGGTTCACGTGCAACACCCACAAGCACAACAGCAATAAGTGCTCAACCGACAACAAATACATACCGGGCCTACAATGGACACGATCAGGTAATTGTTGAGCATCGTGAATCGACTGGACGCGGAGTTATTACGACTATTGTATAAGATTAATAGAGAAAAAATACATACACACACACATACAAAAGTAAACAAACACACTGCATAAATTGTATTTTCAAAGACAATTGAAGCTATTAATAAAACACACATTTTTTTAGCTTGATACATTCAACAAAGTATCTATAAAAGGGAATTCACCATCCATGCACACAAAATAAAAAAAAAGAGAAGAAAAATAAGAAAACCATTCAATGAATTTACCATAATTAATCTAGCCTACCAACGGAACCTTATTTACATTTACACAGTACTTAAAAACGAAATGAAAAATTAAAAACAAAACAAAAAAAATGGTTCAAAGTGATGTCTAATACCAACATTAACAAAAATAAAGATTTATCTATTTTTATTAAATAAAAATCCTAAAAACACATCGAAAATCAATTGACTGTAAAAGCTTCAATCCGCTGTTGAAATAACATTCCTTAGCGCAAATCAACAACTTTGAATGGATACAGTCGATAGATTTTTGTTCAGTGAATGACAGCCACATAATAAATATTTAATTAACTCAAGCTAAAAAAAAGTGATCTGACCCACATTCTGATTAATAACATCACAATTTAAATTTAAAAAAAAACTCCAATAAATTAACAATGAACATTTCCAATCCAAGGTTAACAGAACATTTTAAACAAAAAACAAATCAGTATTCGATTTTTCAGGATTATATCAATCTTTAAACTTTAAACCGAAGAAAATTTCTATATTTAAGTTCTAAAATGTAGAATTAAAATTTAAAAAAAATATCAACATTTTATGAAACCATCCCAATTGCTCATATCAATGAAACATATTGATGTATTTAGTACAATACTTTTTTTTCTCGTCTGCATCATACACTCGCATACATACACATACACACACATACCAAACGAAGAAAAAAATCCACTGCAAAAATAGTGATTAAGAAACCAATTAATTATTTACAAAATTATAGAAGAAGTTATATGTATATTAAACAACTGAACTGTTTTAATTGTTAGGCTATTCCTGTTTATCAGAATAACAACAAAAAGATGAATATTTCTTATTATTATTATTATTATATTATTATTCTTATTATTGAAGATGAAGTAGGATTCTAAAGCTAATAATCAAATTTTCTTCGATATTTACAAAAAAAAAAAAAAAAATATTAAAAGATAGCGCAAAAATTATTTTCAAATGATTGAAATTCACATTTATATTTAAAAAACAAAAAACAAAAACATGAGAAAAAAAGATAAAAATGAAGAATTGGCGGAAAGGAACATCGATTAGAGGAAGTGTGTGAGATAGAGAAAGAAGGAAGTCCAAAACCGGACATCGGAAAATATGCGCCGTTTATGTGCCAATGATTGAATGTCTTTCAATAAATCTGTCTAAGTAGCTGGTATTAACATATTACAACCAAAGATATTAAGATATATTTATTATTTATGACACATAGAATTTAACATCTAGTAGAAGATAATGTATAAAAAAATAACAACAAATTACCATTTAATGAACATAAGAATTGATTCATGTTTAGATGATTTAATAAAAAATTGAAAAATATTCTCATAAATTAGGAAACAAATAAATCAACGACAACCAATAATCTCGTCTTTTTACTTTATTTAATTTTTATTCATTATCTTCAAGATTCTTCCTTTTTAAACAAATTCGTTTTTGTTTGCGACATTTCAATCATTTTCAACGTTAGAATGTACTAAAAATGTTAAAAATTTTGTTTATTGACTAGCAACATCGAGTTTTGGTTGTTTAGTCTCAATATTACATTCATCTTGGCTTTTGTCTCCAACAGGTGTTTGTTCAATGGCCACAGTTGCTTGTTGTAATTGCACTTGATTTGCAACGGATGTGTCACATTTCATAATTTCTCGCAAAGCCATTGTCGCATAAGATGATGAAGGCAGTGTAAATGTTAGAATTAATGCTTTTTGTTTGCCGTTTTCCATACTCTTTGGCTCGGCTTCACCACGGATTTTCTCCACATCGGATTGAATTAGCACATCTGTTTCAGTGTCGTAATTCATAAAATACCAATTCAAATCAACCAGTTTGATGAATGCCTTACGATATGCACCAGTTAAAGAGTAGCCTCTGTAAAAAAGATTTTTTTTCTTCAAAATATCGACTTTGACAAAAAAGAAAATGTAAACTAACTTTTGTTTGCGTTTCAATTTTTCGGAGGATAGATCATCTTGTTTTAATCGTTCTTCGTACCATTGTGAGCAATCGTTTGACGGATAGGTAATGTCATATCCCGGCAATGGTAAAACCACATCAAATATGTTGTATTTATTTGAATCGATGTCGATTTTTGTCAATGGTTTTACCATCGCTTGGAAACGAGACACATTTGTATTTTCCTGTACACTCTCAGTGTCGGTTATTTCTTCCTTTTTATCGTCCTTAGAGTCATCGTCATCAACATCCACATCAATGATTTCATTGTCTGCATCATTTTTGTCAACAAACACCAAATCGCCTTCACACAACTGCAAACCGTATGTCGCTATTCGACGCGATACCATTTCATTCCATATCAAACTTTGATATGCATGAATATACATGAGACGTGCGTTGCGTGGAATCTATCGTATTATATTTAAAAAAAAAAAAAAATAATTTAAGAAAATATCATTTACAAGCATCAAAATTATGCTTACACTTTCAAGCGAATTTACATAATCGTTCGGACCATTTTTGACAAAACCCGATAGAAGTTTGTATTCAATACTTCTTCCGCTTCGATCATGACGTTTTAATAATTCTAATGCCTCTTTGGCATTTCGTTTCTTCCACCATAGCTGACGAACCGCATGCATATCGGGTACGTCATTTGCGCGTGGTTTTAAAATGCACTCACAAGCCTACAACGAACAACAGACAAATTCAAAAATAAGAAAAAAAATGTAGAAAATAATTTTTGAATTTAAATTTTTTTTGAACAAAATTTACTTCTTTAAAGTTTCCTTGCACCAAATATAAACCAATTTTATGCGTTGGCACCTCAGAATGATTTCCAAATCGCTGGTGACCATAATAATTTATAAAGCCTTTTTCTTTGAAAGTTTTCAAGGCTTCAATCACATCGTCGTCGGCAGCAGTCACTTGACGCAGAGCAATACGAAAACTGCAAAAAAAACATATTTTTAAAACAATAGGGCATTTTTTTTATTTTCTAAGTGAATTGAAGCCTACCGATTTCCTTGAAGCATACCCAATTTCAGAGGTTCATCTCTAAAAGTAAAACCGCCCACATACATATGTCGTGCTTTTTGTGCGGCTGCCACAATCATTGATGGTTCTCGTTGTCGAACGCATGCCCACTGTGTGGTTCGGCCTCGTTTATCTTTTGTGCCGGCATATGTGATGGCCGATGCCTTGCTAATGCCCAAAAATGAAGCCAAACTTGAGACCGCTTGCATTGTATCAATATTATCTTTGTGCAATAAAAAGTACGTGTATTCATGTGGCCAAACCCATTGACGTCTGCGATCATCTAAAAAAAATTTACAATCTCATAATGAACAATTTTATTTCACATAAAAATAATTCGCCGGTACATACGTTTTCTATTCAGTTTTGTGCATTTTATAAATTTCCGATCGTCTTTATCGAATGTAGTGCTATTTACGGATGAAAAGTTTCCTTTGATCAATTGATGAATTTGTGTTCGTTCAGTTTTCTCCATTGAAGTTGCATCGATCTGTGAATGAAATGGTTTAATTTCAATTTTCAGTACTTCGGAGAAGGAAAATCTCATTTGTACCAAAACTTCGTCATTGCATTGTTTATCGGCTTTTTCGATGGCCAAAATTGCATCAAATTTTTCCTGTGTTATCAGACGAATGAGATCCGCTTTCTCTGATTCATTGGATGCATCTGAAATTATTGGACCTTCTTAAGAACAGTATTTTGAAGAATGAATTGAACATGGAACTCACTTTCATTTTTGGGTGGTTGGGGTATCGAAAAATTCTCTAGTTCACACAGTTTACCATCGAATCCAATTTCATGGACATGAAAATCTGAAATTCTTCAGTTCAAATTGGAAATTAAAACATTTTCATTTTGCGATATTGTATTATTAAATACAGCATTATCGGTTTACGAATTTTAAATTTTAAAAATGAGAACTCTCTCTCTCTTTTGACTCGTAATAGATCGTTAGAGGTGGACAAAAAGAATAAAAATCAGAATTAACCTTTGTTTAATGATTCCAGTGAATCCATTTGTGGTCGTTGTGTATTCGGTTATGCCAATTTCATTTTCTTTCAGCGACGAGTAGATGACATTCTGTCTCGCCGGTCTTGTTGTATTATTTCTAAATATTTGCAAATAAATTAAATTCCTTATTCAATTCACGAAAATCGATTTTAAAACTAACGCTATGTAACTTACTGTGTGGATTGATATGGCCGCTTACGATGATGATTATTTCCAAAATGTTTTCCATGATTTCGACCCATTTTCTATTTAAATTTATATTTTTTTCTATTTACCGCATGCTTAAATTTCTGTACGTTGACACAAATATAATACTCAATGGTGTTGGAGTGCGTTCATGACATCTTGAACGTAATCGTCAAACGTCATTTCTATTTTTCTGTTGAATTTGACATTTCTGTATATTACAAATATCATCAATAAACACATCAAAAATATATTGTACATCGTAACAGAATATTTGTTTACAATTTGAACGAAACGTGATCAATTTTAAAATATGGTTTACATCACATTTCCTACAAACCATACGGAAGAGGAGCAGATGCTTCAGGCAAAATACCAAAAGCTGAAGAAAAAGGTATGCACAATGGAATTTTTAAATCGAGTGACGCTATGTTTACATTGTGCCGTTTCTGTTTGTTTTGTTGAATAGAAAAAGGCGTTACAGGCTCATAAAGCGCCAAAGCAAGAAACTGAGAAGCAATTGATTCCAAAACGAGCAGTTGATGCACGCGATGCCCGTGAAGTGGCACGTAAATTGTTCAAAAGTGGTGCGATTCCGGCCATTCAAAAGCCACAGATGAAACAAGATCAGATGTCATTCAAGCGGCCAAAAGGACAGGAGAGAAAACGCGTTGTACCCGAATCGAATGTTGCATCATATCAACCATTTTCAGCGACACAAGGTTCAGATAGTTTTCAGAGTGCCAATACGGCTGCAACACTGGATAGGGATGCAAATCGTGTACACAACTGTATGTGATTGAATTCATGAGTTTTAAAACGAATTTATATTCTTTTCTAAGAGTGTCTTTAATGTGAACTAATTGAATTTTTTTTTAAATTTAGTATATCAACAAATCGCAACCGAACGTGATCGTGAAGAACGTGGTCTTACCGAAAAGAAAACCGCCGAACCAGCTCTTACAACTCGTACGGATAAACAACGTACAGGCAACACAATTTGTGTTTCGGGAAATAATGTAACCGAAGAATTTTTACGCAATCAATTCGCAACGTTTGGCAAAATTGTGAGCGTTTCAATGGAAATTGAAAAGGGACGAGGTTTTATTACTTTTATTAAAACTGAATCAGCCGAAAAAGCTATTAGTGAGATGCATTCGAAAACTATTTCGGGAATTTCATTACAAGTACAATTAGCACGCAGACAACCACAAATTGAACCAATCAATCATGCATCATCATCAGTAGTCTGGTCGACGCTGGGTAAGATTGAATCTTGAATCTTTTACTTAATTTAAATCACTTCAATGAAATATTGAATTTCATCATTATTTATCTATTTTCAGCTGCAAGTCATTCACAAAAAGGTGGCAGCGCTAAAGACAAACGAAAAATGGTCGAGTATGACGATGATGATATATTCAATTAAATTCAAACTACAAAAAAAAGTATATAGGCTAAGACATTTTTTTCTTCGAAATCATCAATAAACAAATTAAATTTAAAAAACGTGACAATTTTACTTTTATAATAAAAAAAAATCAAATTTCCTATTATAGTAGTAGATTCAATAAACGAAAAGAAGCAAAAATTTGTTGTTATTTTTCATATTTATTTTTATTGAATTTGAAATAAGAAGAGAACAGAGTGCATTAAATTTCCTTTATATTTTTTTATTGTAAATTATTTTTCGATTATCAAAAACCAAACCAAAAAAAAAAAATATCATCAAAAATGGTAGTTCGTTTATGAGAAAGAAAGAAAATGTGTGAAATTGTGAATGGAGTTATTGCCAAAAGACTTCAAATCGTTTTGAACAAAAAAATGCAACATTTTTGTTTTTCGATGAACCGATGAGCGTTGTGTGGTACGGTGAGATAGAGGAAAATTGAATTCAATGTGCGTGTAATATGAACGTTATTTTGAATTAGATCATAATCATCTACAATGTTTGTGTGTGTGCGAGCACATGTGAATATAATGAATGAAAATTATTTTAATCTCTATGTTCTATTCGCTAATTGTATGTGTACGTGTGTTTTTTTTTGTATATGTTTGGGATAATTCTTGCAATTTGTTCTCGTTTTTTTGGTGAATATTAAATGTCGATTGGGTCGTCGCAATAATTTATCAGCACTGAAATCGATTTGATAATCGAAAAGAAAAGGGATGATTGTATTTAGCGTCTGCCTAAGTTATCCGGTGGATTAAAATAGTCCCAATGATGATGGTGCACCGAACGATCTCCACTTATGCCGAGCATCATGAGACTGGCCACAATAATGATTAAAATTACCAAAACTAAACTAAGGTCTTTTTGTTGATCATCTTGATTTTTGGTTAAACCTCGCAGAAAATCGACCAATGAATGACCAGCTGTATTAAGTGATGAGCTAAGTGCACGACCACAAGCCCGAATCAGTTGACCGCTTAGATCAGCAATCGTAAGATCTTGACCGTTGGTACGAGCAACAGCACCGCCACCATGATGCGAATGATGATGCCGTCGGCTGCACTCTTCGTCTGATGACGATTCGGCGCGACGCGTGTGCTTACGTGATCGATGTTTTGCCGGAATGGCGGACGGTGGTAACGATGATTCATCTTCAGAAATACCGGTTCGTAGTTGATAGAATGATGCTGGAATTTCGGTTGTTGGTGTGTATTCAGTCGGTGTTTGTGGTCGCTTTGGTGTATTGTCACTTTTTTCTTTCTTTTCGTCGGTTACCTTCTCGTTGGTTTCGGTTTCCGTTGGTGTGACTTTTGGTTCGCTTTCTTGAGGTGATGGCGGTGGTGTTGTTTGTGATGCCGTCTGCGGCTCTGATTGTGATGCAGACGACTGAATAGGTAACGTTTCACGTACACGTTCAATAATCTCTTGCATAACTTCCGGTGTGATTTGTAAACTATTAACAATTGGTTTGGTTTCGGATTTTGCGATTGGTACCGTCGTTGTGTCATCCGATTGAATATTCACCACAGTCAATGAATCAACTTGAGCATGTGTCGGTTCCGCACTTTCACTAGATAAATCATTAACAGGTTCGGGTGTGAATTGATTCAAATCATGTGTCGATGCAATCGATAATGTTTCAGCTTCAGCCAATGGTACAGTAATTGTTTCCGTTATTTGTGACGCATTTGCTGAAGATTTTCGTCGTGGTGGTGGCTGTGGCACTTCAATGGTTGATTTCTCGACAATATCTTGTTGTTTATTTTCATCGATTGCTTTTGGCGTTGATTCACGCGCCAATGAACTGTCGATTTCATTACCCAACATTTGATATCGTTGAATTGCCGCATTTATAATACGTTCGTCCTCTGTGTCTAAGTGTGTGTCATCAACATCATCAGCATATGGAACATATTCACTTTCGGCTGAATCGGTTCGATAATCGATCTTTTTTGGCGGCGATGAATCTTGGTCAATTGGATGCATTATTAATGTCGCATCCATTTGAACGGGTGAACGTGTAATACGCTGTTCAATTATCAATGCCGATGGTGTGATTGGTCGACTTGATTGACGTTCGGTCGATGCACGTGAACGTTCTGAATATGAACGTTGATTTGATTCACGAAATTTTTGTATTCCTTTCGATAAGTTGTCATCACTTGTTCGTGTGCTGTGATCGTGCGGTTGCTGCTGTTGGGTATCACTGCTTCGTAAAATCTCTTCAACCGTACGTGAATATTGTTCGGCTGTTTCGTGATCAAGTGGCACATCTTCATTCAAATACAAATCATCAATGTCCAGTGAGGTTTGGGTTGCCATTTCGGCACCAACAAATTCTCGTGTTGAAAATTCAGAATCGTCAAATGATCCCACAACTGCTACTTGCTCGGCGTCATCGTCATTGTCGTCGAATTTTCGATCGATATTCGATTTTCGGCGCTGTCTTTTGTCGCGCGGTGGTCGTGGCGGTGGCGGTAATGGACGATTTTGTATTTTAGGCGGATAAAATTCGTTATCTTCATCGTTTAATTCGTCGTCAATTTCTTCATATTGTGTACCATCGGATGGAGCAATTGATGGTGGTCTGAAATCATACGGAAAATCATTTAATGTTTTTTGAAGGAGATTTTTCCTTTTGAAAAAAAATAAGAAGAATCATACTTGTGCTGATCAATCAAACTTGAGCTTGAACCTCTCCGTGGTGGTCGGGCTGGTGCCGAAATGTTAAAGCTACGTTTTTGCCGTTCTGGAAATGGTGAATCTTTAAACATAGCTCTTGAGCTGTCCGCTTGCAATGTGTCGCCAAGTGATTTGGTTGAACGTTTACGGCGAGTTGGCGCTGGTGGTCGAGCTGGTGGCTCTTTCTTTACCGTTGCATAGCTTATTTCAAAATCAAATGAAAAACAACGAATTACACATCACATTTCAATAAATCTAAAGTCAACTATAAAATGTTACCCATTTGTCTCTTTAATATCGATGGTATATCGACTATTGTTCGGTGAATATTTTTCAAGGATTTCCGTTTCTCCATCAAATTGGACCTCTTGGTTTTCGGGTGCCGGATCAGATTTCGAAGAAATTGATCGATTTTTACGTCTTGGTTTGACAATAAAACTAGCATCTGCCTGTTCATCAATTGGTACAGTGAACGAGGGCTCACTTCGATATACTAAAACCTGAGTTTTCAATAACAAATGAAAAGATACGGTTTTTTTTTAATTTATCCATAAAAATTAAATCAATTTATTTAACAAACCTCTTCGTTAGTTTCAATTGAATCCTGTTTTGGTGGTATGCGTCCCTTACGACGCCTTTTTGGTACTTGCGGTTTAGCATCGCTTGGACGAAATTCGCGATCATTATCAATGTCCGAATCAAAGTGTTCATCGCGGCTCAAAATGTTCGGATGATCTAAATCATCAACAAATTCATTGTCATAAAACGATAGATTTTCATCATCATGTCGTGGAAAATATTGTGTTGCGACTGGAATTTCATGATCGGAAAGATTATCATGGCGATAATCATCGTATGATTCAAAATTTCGATTATAACCATCGTGTCGACGACGCAATGGTTTGCTTGGTTGTTCTGTGAAATGATGATATTCATCGGTAAAATCGTCAGCATTGTTATCATACGAATAACTAGCATGACCTTCACGAATTGCTGAGCTTATGTATTTGCTAATTTCGGCATTATCTTGTGAAACGCCACGTTGTCGCAAGAAAAATTCATCATCGTCAATGTCTTCAATGACACCAGTTCGTCGACGATCACCCGAACTGCCCGACGATTGTGTTTCTTCGGTAGAAAAATTTGAATCGGTTCGTATCCGTCGGCCGTGTGCATCTCGTTTCGGTTCATCTGCTTCAAATTCAAAGGTCGGTGCATGTTGTTTGATGCCCATTATTTTATTACGCATTCGTTCACATTCTTCCCAATCAATATCACGATTACTTTCGTCCGATATCAAATCCGAATCTTGATGAACTAATGGCGGTTTTCTGGCCTTAAACTCTTGCTCACGAGCCCGTGATATTTGATGAATGGCTCGATTTTCTTCATCATAGCTGGCCAATTGAATTTGCTCTTTGGTTTGTAAAATTCCCAACGGTTCTTCTTCATCTTCCATTGATATTTTTGATGCCAAACGAATGCGACGCTCAACCGAATCCTCGTGCGATTCATCATGATGTGGAATCGATCCTTGCGGTATACTTTCACTGTCATCACCGCGATCACTACTTTTCGAAAATGACGATTTATTCCACTTTGATATGATTGAATTTTTTATTTTGGATGCTGTACGCGGTACGGTGGCAAAATGTGTTGAAAACGATGACGACGATGGTTGTGTGGCCGTATCACGTTCGGTGGCTGTACTTTCGCTCACAAAATCAGTTACATCATGATCATCGGCAGTTGATTGCTGCTGTTGTGGTTGTTTGAAACGATTGAATATTTTTGGATATGAGCCAAATTCGAAGCGTTTTTTTGAACCGACCGTTTTCGATTCAAAAATTTCTTCCGTTGTTACACTAACAACAGTTGGTGCATCTTCTGATGGGCCACATGTTTCATCAACGGTCATTGTGGTTGGCTCATCAGCCGACATGTCCGGCTGTGTGTCATTTCGTGATGATAACTTGAATTTTTCGGGCATTTTGAATTTAGGTAGTTCGGGTTTTGACATTTTTGGCATGTGAATTGATTTAATTTTATTAGCAAAATCGATGCGTTTGAATCTTTTTCGTTCTTTTGGGCTTGTTTGTGATGTTTTCGGACTGGATTTCAAACTTGATTTCAAGTTTGAGCCACTCGTTTTTTGTGAGCCACTTCCATTGCTTGATTTTAAACTGCGTTTGAATTTCGTTCGTAAGTTCGATGCTTGCGATGAAATTTTATTTTGTAAGTTTTTAGTCGTTTCGCCGGCATTTGTCATAAACGATTTCTTTTTTCGATCCTCTCGTCGTAGTGGTAACTCTTCGATAACGCTATCATCAATTTGACTAGTGTGTATATCTTCGGTACGTGAAACATCAGTGAATGGTGTAATCGATCGAATTGGACTTTCGCTTCCATCATAACTGATTCGTTCTTCGTGCACAATATCGGGTTTTGGATTTTCGTCGGTGGTCGGTGATTCGGGTTCGGTAATTGTGAAAACGGGCCGGTCAAAGCTTTGTTCTGGTTTTGTATTTGGTATGGGTTCACCTATGGGCTCATATTCGTGATCGCTATGAATTAGAAAAAAAAAAAGATATGAAAAGGCAAATCTCTTTTTTATGAATGTATATAGTTAAATCTACGCTATAATAATGGTACCGACTATTAAATTTACCGAAATGGTCGTCGGTTGGTCGATGTATTCGAAAAGTCAAGTCGATCGGTTGGCAGTGATTTATTAAAACTAACTCCTTTGGAAATTTTCGTATTCGCCGCATGCGGAGAAATGTGATCAGAATCAATTTGCGATAGATTATTTTCAAAACCAATGGTTTTTGTCACTTTCAGCGGTTGGCCCAAATCTGAAATGCCTGAATCATGGTCGAAGCTTGTTTGTGACAAATTTCGACGGCGTCTGTTTAGTATATTCGATGTTCGCATGTCCTTTTGACGTATGTATTGCGGTTCAATTTGTTGGTTCATTTGTGGTGGAGCAACTTCACTTGCACGTCGTTCGGGTAAATCACCAGCTGGTGGTAATAATTTATCATGATTTTTCTTCAATTCCATTTCCACGGCTTGTTTTTGCGTTGGTGTCGGCGTTCGATATCGATTTTGTAAAAATGGTGAACAAGATGGATCCCGTTGTCGTATATAATTCGAGGCGATGTGAGTTGTTCGAAGATCTAGCGTTGAAACGTTTCGCGATTGTGATGGTGTGGTTTGTGCACTTTTGTAATTATCAAAAATTTTACTATAGCTATATTCATTGGTTTCAGCTTCTTGTGACCGTAAGGTACTGTCGAATTTGGCCAAGTATTGAATTTGAAGTTTCGACGATTGCGTTGGCATTTCCACCGTTTCGACATCTTCAACTTTCATCAATTGTAAACTTTGATGTGTTGGTATCGGTTTTGGTTTAAACGTTTTGCCATCATTTGTATCGTCATCGACACTTACGGCCACGAGTTTTGGCAACGGTTTTTGTTCAACATTCTGTGATTTCGTTAGCATTAGTACCTTTTCTTCATCGCATACATTTTGATTCGCTACACGTTGATCATTTTTCATAAATTGTTTTTCAATGTCGGTTTTTCGTGGTATATCTTCAACAAAATTTGAATCAATGCCACTGTCCGGTTCCGTTTCGACCGATCTTTTTGCATATAAATCAGGTTTTTGCGGCAGATTTTCGGTTGAAGACAATATGAATCGACGATTTCCTTGGGACTGCATGCTCAATGGCGATGCAATCTCCGTTTTTGGTGATGTAACAGCAGCAGCTGCAATATCTCTGGATGGTGCAACTTCGATCTGGGTGTCAGCTATTTCCATATTTGAATTACGAATAATTTCATTAGAATCATGATAAAAGGTACGTTCGTTTGGAATTCGAGTTTGTTGGAATTGAAATGGTTGTTGAATACGTTCATTTGACACCATTTCACTGCTGGCCCGATCAAATGATGCAGACGATCGATTGAACATTTTTCGCCGTAGGATTGTTGATTGTGATGGATCTTTTTGCGTTATACTTGACTGTGACATTCGTTTGTTTAATGTTGTAAACGGTTGTCGCTCTTCACTCATTCGCTTACGCAATAATGACGACGTCGATGGATCTCGTTGTTTAATAAATTGTTGTGTTTGTGGTTGAACTGCACCCATATTTGTATAACTTACACTTCGATTGCCTAAGACTTGTTGATCGATGACAAAATTATTGGTGACCACATTTTCCGGAGCAAATTCCGGTGGTATGTCATAATTTGTTTGCGGCGGGTTGGGCAATGCATTGGCGATTGGAACATTTATTGATGCAATCGGCATGTTCATGTTCGGTGTATTTTGTTCAATGGCGGTCGATTCATGTTGGTCTTTGAATCGAGCTCTAACATGAACACATGGTTCAAAATCATCGGCCGTATTGTAGCCCACTGGATTCACTCGTTCGGGTAATAAAGATTTCGTTTCATAGAATTGACAAGCACATCGTACATCTAATGCAACCGCTTGGGCACTCTCTGATCGTGATGGCCGTTGTAGCCTTGGTCTTGGTCTCGAACCCACAGACGATGATCGTAATCGTGCTGACATCTTTCTCGTTTTTTTTATTCGAGTTACTTACGTTTAAATTTGTGTGATTTTTTGTTCTTGTATCGATTAAAATTTACAATCGTCAAAGCTCAACGCGTCTTGTTTTCCACACACACTTTGACCTTGTTTCCATACAAAAACATCGTCTAAAATTAGCCAATTTATATTGAAACTGATACCTTCAACTCATTCATAAAACTTCAATATTTTTTTCCTTTCTCACACACACACACAAAAATATATCTAAATATATGTTTTCGATAAATACTAATCATAAAATTCGTTATATAATAAGTTGCGTTTTTCTATCAATTAAAGAACTAAAATTTGTTCGTGTATTTTAGAAATGTTCGTTGTAAATTTTCGTAATTGTTGCATTTTGCGTTATCGTTGCTGGATTCTGATATTTTATTGAAACCCGCTGAAAAAAAACTCTTTAACTTGTTTTAAAACAAACTGGAATTACTCAAGTCTATATTGAAATTTGGTACTTGGTTATAGCGGAATTGAAGACGTACGCAAAAAACAAATGCAACTCAAATGATTACTGCACTTATTCAATGTTCGGATGCAGTTCAATTTTGAACTCGGTGGGACTATGAGCGAATGAGTTTGGTGGAAGAGTTTGCGAAACAAGTTATTCGAAACGAATATCGAGACTAATCACAGTGAACATGAATGTGAATAGCCGTCACATCGCTCACACTTATGATGTTATTTCGTCTCTTTTTGTCCTGTCTTTTTGGGTTCCTTTTTGTTTTGGCAGAATTTATAAAAATAACGAAATGTAGGCTAGCTGAGAGTGGCAAAAACGACGTAAAATTTACTCAAACTCGATCACTCGACTCTCTCCCTCTGTACTATACAATCGGGCCACATATCTCAATGCAGATTAAACCAACAAATAATCAGTTTCTCAAATGAATTTACGCCCGTTTCACTCACTCGACTTTTTTTATTGCATGTATTCTGGGTTGTCGAATGCGAAAATTGCAGATGTTAGTGAATTTTTTTTTCGCGACACAATCAAGTGAATGTAGTACGGGTGTACATAATAAAGAGGAACTACTTTGAAATGCTTTAAAAAAATAAGAGAAAAATAGAATGAGTTTTATCGATGGTTTAGATGAACAATTATGAACAAATTGGCATATTTTTTGTGTGACACACACTCGCAACGAAACAAAACCAGAACAAAAACACCACTTTTTTTAATGCAAAAAGTAGCTTTTGTTTAATTAAATGTTCTTCTCGTTTGCTCGTTGAGTTTGGTATCGCATTTTTTGCCTTCTTTTTATCCGCGCCTCTCATTATATGTGTCGTATTTATTTGCCAACACAAATGGTTCAACATGAAATGTGAGCATCTTTCAAAACATCCACAGATCAAGTGAGTCAAAGAGTTGTGAAGCAAGACGAGAGAAAATGGTCAACTCATTTGAAAATTAAATACAATTTTCAATTTTATTTTTATCTCTCGGGAGACCGCGCTGAAAATGAACGAAACAATTTTCCGTTTTTTTTTACTCTCTATTTAATCATCGATGTCATTTTGGCACACACGCAGAAAACACCAAAATTTCATTTTCCTTTCATTTGCCATGACTTCGCTTTTCTCTCTCGCACACTCAATCTCCCGGTAAAAGGCATGTGTCGTTCATTTTTATTCGGATGCGCGTTGACGTCTGTACTGTGTATCTCAAATGGCTTTTTTTATCGTTGTAACAACTTCCTACAGTTGTGAAACATTTCATACTTTTACTTTTTTTTTCCTATATGAATCTTCCTCTATCATCGTCTTGCCCTGTTTTGCCACACTGTTCAACGCGTGCATACATGCTTCAAACACGCATTTACAATAATAAATCACGACTATGTTGAATCAGTGGCTTTCAAACTATTTTCTATGGTCGACATTATGTAATTAGACTAAAACGAATGTGTCTGCAATGCTTGTTTTTTCTATCGAAGTGCAGTGTACACGTTTTTTTTCTTACTTAAAATGAAAATAAAATGTGTTGCCCCATTTTCGATCCGACCGAATCCAACTTGACTTTTCGACATTTTAACGAATTAGAAAAAATAAACATACAATTTGCTGAATGATGAACAAAATGGAACATATGATATACACATTACACACAAATACAACAAGATTATACAAACCTCAAGTCAGACCAACGTTTGGATACTTTGATGTGCTCCGGTAGTTCAACATCCTCTTTATCCGGACCCTTTTCGGCTGCCAATTTCTCTTGGTATTCTTCGGTCGACTGTGAAAATTTTACTTTTTTCTCTTCCTTCACTAACACATCTTTTCTTCCGTCCCCTTTCGATGCAGCATCTTCTGATACATTTGCATCTTTTTCTACATTAACACTTTCATCGATTTTAATTTGAATATCAGATACAGGAGCTGAGTCATTGTCCTTTATTTCTTCTACTTCATTGAGCTTTTGTGTTTCAATCGTTAGAATTTCTTCGATCGTTTTTAATTCAATAACTTCGTCCGGTATTGGTTTATTGTCATCAACTGTTGATTTTGTTTCAGTCGAATTTGCGAATTGTTTTATCCGTTCATCTACAGCGTCTTCGTATTCATTTTGTTTTTGAAGATTTTCTTTGAATTCATCTTTATTCAAAACCGAATGTAAAACTGCGCTTGCAAAAATGCTGCCCGGTTTTTTAAGTTTTTGAGCGTTTAGTTGTGTTATGGCACCGGGTGTTTCGATTTCTTCATAAATATGCTCTTTGGTTTTACGAGGTGCTTTTTGTGGTGGATCATTTTTAAATTCCTCTTCAAGCAATTCTTCAACGGTTGGTTCGTTATCTGAACCAGTTAAATTAGATGGTACCACAAAACCTTTTTCCTTTGGCGCTTCTGGTTCCCGCTGCTGTTGTTTATCTTCTTCTTTATTTTGTTCTCGTTCTACATCTTCGACTTTTCGATTTTCCTCACGCCGTTTACGTGATTCGCTTGGCGATTCATCCAAGTGAAGAATTTCCACAATATCATCACTGTCACGTTTCTCCAAATATGCAGCAACATTTTTTCGTTCAGCCTTTGGTGAATCTTTCAATCGAATGATTCGCGTGTGTTCGGTCAGCACAATTTTCTTTTTTTCGGGCAATGGAAGCGTTTTAATGGTTGTTACTTTCGTTTTTTTCGGTGCGCCTTTTTTATGCAATTGTTTGTCGGCCATTGTTTTTAATTTTTCAACAATTGGATGACAACACTTTACCTGTTGCGGTGATTTTTCACGTTCATCCAAATCGTCCGCTCGAGTTTTGGCAACTTGAACTTTTTTTGGTGCCGAATGGCTTCGTTTTAAAAATGATCGCAACGCAAAACGTTTTGATTCTTCTTTTGGTTTGAATGTTGATAAGTCTTGTTGTGATTGTGTTGTTGATGATTTTAATTTTTTTCGCTCATTTTCACGTTCTTCTTCGGCTTCAAGATCCTGTAATACCTCCAAAATGCCAGACGATGAATTTTTTACCGAACTTTTAACGCTATATGAATCGATAGCGCGTTGTGTATCAATGTTATCAAAATTGAATGAAAGTAGATCAGTTGGTGGTGCATTTGAATCGGACAGTAATGGTGTTGGTAATTCTAATGTTTGTTGTTCAATTTGACGGGCAATAGCGGCCGCTTGATCCAAATGTTGTGTCACCGATACTATTTCGGATGAACCTCTTTCTGATGCATTTGATAGTTTCTCACATTTATTCTCGGTGATTTCTGCCTTCTTCAATTGCTCAGCAACGTCCTGTGGATGCAAATAAGTCCAAGGATAACCACCCTGTGTGTATTCAAGATAAATGATTTTCGATTTTTTACAAAAGCGCATTCAAATTAACAGCTACGAACACATAAAACAAACAAACACACACACGCCGTTCAATACTTACCTTTTCCTTGTCCCGTCGAATATCCTCCCATCGATACGTAATCAATGGATGTGGTGGTGGACTTTGACTTTGTTCTCGATATAGTGAATAATCAAAATATTGATTTCCGTCCTTTTGATCAATGCCGTGGCTTGAGCCGCACCGTGAATTTGTGCCAAGTTTTTTGTCCGTTTCGTTGCTGGCTTTTTTTAATTCGTCTTGTACTTTACGTGATTCTTTTAGCAAGCCCAATACTTCACTATTCAATATAGCCAATGCTTCATCGAGCGGTGCATCGGGTGAATCACTTTTAATATTCGAAGCCTGTGCTTCGTCCAGTAAACTTGTTACTTGATCATTTAAATTGTCTAGGGCCGCATCCAAACTAGACAATCCAACATTCGTATTGCTCGTTACAGCATCGTTTTTCGTATCCAAATGTTGTTTAGATTGATTTGTGGTTGTTGTTGTTGTTGTGGTTATTGCTGGCAACGAACTATTTTTAGCCTCTATCCGACTCGTTTCCAAATCGATACTACAATTTGGCTCAGGGTCAGTGCTTTCTTTCGTAACAATTGTGTCACTATTATTATTGGTTATGGGATTTGCTGTAAAAATATCAGCATCAATTTGCACTTTGACATTGGAGGTGATTAATTGATTATCACGTTTCTCATTTACGACTTTCAATGCTGCGGTCGTTGCTGTATGAACAGCTTCCGTTGCTGCTTCTGTTATTTCATCGGTTGTCACAGGAATCGTATCACTTGTTTTCGTATCGTTCGATTCCGTTTGTTCAGCTGATGCCTGATTTTCTATTGTGAAATGGTATAAACAAAATCAAATTATAACATCAGATTCAATAACAAAACCGAAATAGAAATGCTTTGTAAATCAAACAAAAAAAAAAGCAAAATGCTTTCCACTTGGGAGGCAAAGGCGTGATTCACGCATTTTTAGTCAATGTTAATGAAATCAGACTTATTTATGAATTTTATGGGACGATTTTGTGTTAATTTTTATGTAGTAATTAAGTGATAGATGACAAATTTTGAACGATCAAGATCGTGGTAATTTCATTTGAGGTGTACTGAAATTTGATTTCGGATTTTCATGCTTAGCGAACGTATTTTTATTACAAGTTTAACATTTATTTTACGCACAAACATTGTGAGCAAGTGAAAATTATGGAAAAAGTTTGGCATTTCCGTTCATTAATCAGTTGAGTATATTAAAATATGAGCAATCAAAACCTATCCTATCTTAATAAACATTGTGTGCGCATGGATTTGAACGTAGTTTTCATTTCTATGTTTCGGATTTATACATTTATGCGGTTTGCCTTTTCATCTGGCCAAACAAAATGATGCGTCAGTCAGAAGCATGACAAAGAGAAAGAGAGCGATCGATCCAGTGGACAAGAGTGAGAAAGAGAGAGAGAAAGTTTGTGTTGTGTATGTGTTTGTGTATCTACTTTGTATTATACGGCAATTTTGCTCTAGAAAAACCGAAATGATATTTTTAGCCAATTATATTGATGCAATACTGTGGTGATCATGCTTCTTTATTTTCAGCTATTAATAATACACACAGATACCTATATACATAATACATCGTACATTGGATTTTCTATCAGGCATGTTCTTGTTCGTGTTTTACATTTCAACTATTCTGGCGCTCGAGCGTACGCTTTTTTCTCTCTGTCGATTTTTCGCTCTCCATCTATCGTCATCTCATCCATTGCCACTAACAATAATAATCCAGTCAATAAATATTTATCTTAACTACTACTGAGCGCCAATGTTATTTGAATCGTACAATGTTTTTTCTAATGGTTTTATTCATTTTATAAAGATGAAAACGAAAAACATTTACAATTATGCCGACACATTCAATATAAATTATCGATTTGAATGCCAATCGCCAAAAAAAAACGGAAATGAAAAATTGGTTACAAGATTCCGTTTGAAATTCTTATTCGTTGTTAACATTTAAAAAAAAACATACGTCATGAGAAATTTCAATAACGTTTATTTGGTGGGACTTTTGACGTAATTTTCTCTGGTTTTTCTTTGTTCATCTCGAAAATCTAATTGAAAGAAAATGCTCGTTTTTAAGAGAAAACGAAAAAGATTTTTCAAGAGGACAAGTGCTCGCCTACATTCTTTAAAGTAAGTAATATTTGAATTTGGGAGTGCAGTGTGCGCTTCGTGCAAATATTAGGTCAGCAAAATGAACACATATAGTACATCTTATTTGCACCAATATGAAAGTACAAAACAATTTTACCGACGGAGACGGTACTAAAATGAGAAAAAAAAGAAACAACCACAACAACAACAACTCTCAAGAAAGCTCAGCATTTTATACATTTGTAAGGGGCGATGCGCTTTAATGATGGCTGCAGTTGTCGGAAATGCAAAGTAAACGTTGAGTATGTATGGACATATGTGAGAGAGAGAGAGAGAGAGAGAGAAGATTGAAGGAGCAAATGGTTTTATTTTTACTAACATGAATAAAGTTAAAATGTATTATAAATAAAATGATATACTAAATACGATGACGGTAGTGACTGATACTGTCGGGTGTTAATCAACTGACTTTGAATCAAATAGAAGCAAGAAAAGAGCGACGTCCACGGGCAAAATGGAAGAGGGAGAAAGAGAAACTATGATATAAAATTAGCAACACATGACAAAGTTCATCATAACTGCAGTTGTATGGGTGTTATTTAATCTGTGTATGATTCGCTATTCAAGATGGACATCGATTACACATGAAATGGATATAAGAAGAAAAAAAATGTTGTTTGATCGATTAAAAGTTATTATGGTTCATTCATAAACCACAAACAAACCAATGTCTTTAAAAAAATTAAATAAAAAGCAGTTTTGAAATGATGAAAGATGAGCGGAGTGGTTCGATGTCGGAGAGTGGAATTTTTTTTAATATTTCGATTGATGTGAGTGCGTGTGTGTGACGACAGAGGTGATGAGACAAAGACAATTTGAATGCACACTCACATTTATCTAGACAATACGCACAATAAAATAGATTCTAGGTGCTGTTAGGAACAATTGTTTTTATTTAAGAGATCCTAAACAGAATCGTCAATTGATTGTTTGATCATTTGTCTAAAGAAAACACAATGTGAAGACACAATTCCTTTGCTAAATGCGGTGGTGCGTTTGTTATACAATAGCGCGCTCATAAAACAAGAAAAAGCGAAATTTTTGATCAAACTTTTGATTGTTTGAAAAAAACAAAATAAACTTTGATATTGCTTGCACGTTGATTCAGCGTCACGATTTTCATTCCAAAAAGAGAGCTGAGCTTGTTGACTCGTTAAATTTTTAGTGCATTTTTTTTTTTATTTTACAGACTTATGAAGCGCTGTACCTGTTGTTTCTGTTTGATCACCGTTATCCATTTTTTTTTTAAATTAATTTGTTTTTCTTTCGTTCTAAATTCGTTTTAAATCACACACGTTAATTTTATGTATTTACTTATACATTTCACCTGTTCTTCATAAAAAAAAGTGTTTTTTTTTTCTTTTTTCTCACTCAAATCTGGGACATTTTCTGTGTCATATGAAACAATACCCAGAGACAAACAAAATCACTTTATTTGGCACAATTTAATATTTATGTTTCGGCACTGCAGCGAGTTTTTTTTATACTCCATATGGAATCACAGTCACATGAAAAATCGTTTGTTTAAAAATTATTTTCTCGTTTGAGAATGGAGAATAAAGAACTTATTTTTGGTACTTTTTTTAAAAGAGTGTTGGGAGGAACACCAACGAATTCCAGAACAAACAAAGAAATGATTATTCAAAATAAAGGTCGATCAATTAACGGATATGTTGACCCTTGCACACTGAAAAACGGAGTGCTTGAATTCACGGTACTGAAACCAACACGACAAATCAACTGGTCTCTCTTTTTTTCTCGTTCTGTATTTTTTCTCTTCTTCTCTCTACTCGAATCCTGTCATTTTGTCAGACAAGGCGTGTGATGTGTGCGATTTTCTCTTTCACTTGTCGCATTTATTTTTAATTCTTTTGTTGTTTTGGATGTGACGAATTGGAATAGCTGAGATCGTGAGAACGGATCTTTTTTTTCGCTAGTTTACAGTGACACTATTGGACACCGCATTTACCGATCGCCAACAACCGCTTATAATACGTATGATTTTCGCAACATCGCCGAAAACACACATTATTTCAAGATCCTCTCGCATATATCTACATGGTGAAAAAACCTTGTACACATACACAAAAGTATACGCTTGCGTGAAAATTCTTTCTCCGATTCTATACGCGATTCACACTATTATGTGAAGATCATATTCGATTTGGTTTTGTAACTACACGGTACTTGTGTGTGTGTGTTTGTCATTTTGTGTGACGGAAAAGTCAGATAGAGATATAGTGATGATGATCACTTGATGCTGACGTGCGTTTGCAAATTCAAATTAAATGTATGGCTTACGTATTTGACATAAATTTTCTTTTATATATCATTTTCACCGATCAAATAGTATTCGTGGCGATTCCAACACATACACAATTATTTATTTACAAGTTTGGACATTTAAAAATAACACATCATGCTATTTTGTCATCTTTAATCCTTTTTATGACATTGAATTGGCTAAAAATATAATTCTTTGGTCAATTTTATGAACTCAAATGGACATTTGTTCAGCTTTAAGTGCTGGAGAATATCAGACCTTTTACAATAGAGATTCTTATATGCTTTTTTGAATAAAATGTTATCGATTGCGGCAAAAAAAAAAAAAACAACTTTAACATTAAATTTTATTGGATCAATTTATTTGATTTTCCAAAATATATTTCATATTTTCTTGCTAAAAAATGAAACAATTTTCAAAATTTGAATTGATGTGCAAACGCATTGATATAAAATTGCAAGTCTTTTTTTGATGATCCATGTTTTTTGGTTGCACATTGTTTTGAAAGAATATAGTCACCAGCGCCACCAATACATTTCAAACCAATCTGGATACTTGAACTGATTTTATTTTTTTGGCTAATTTCCGAAAGAATATTTCCATCGATCAAACTTGAATAAATAGTTTGCAACAGTGGGACCGTGATTTGTTCCACTTCTTCTTTCAAGTATTTGGTAGAAAAATACGAACTTTTGAATTTTTTCTCGTGTTGTCAATTGTTTTTCTACATTAAAATTTTGTTAACAACAAGACAAATAATTATTGTTATGATCTTAACCTAATTTGTGCTAGAATTTTGAAGAAAAATTCTAAAAGGGCACCATACGTCCTCAGGGGTCCGATTACCCGCCCCCTTGAAAATTCCCAAAGAATTCTTTCAATTTGCTAGGGATTTTGGCCAAAAAAGTGAAGACGTTTTTTTTTTCTTTTTGCTCAACAACTTCAAAAATGGAAGAAAATCTTTGAAATTGCCAGGGTTTTTCGCGAGAAATTCTTCTGATTTGTTAAGGATTTTCGCCAAAAAAGTGAAGAGCAAAAAAAAAACGAAAAAAGTACACTTTTCGTCAAATTCACTTCACTTTTTTACTTACCCCTCACGATTTTTTTCAATTACTCCCCCTTATATTTTTCCTATGAGGACGTATGAAGGGCACACGAATTAACTAGATATCTCAGTGTTGAATGTCAAAAATAAAAAAAAATCATATGGATTTAAAAAATCTGTTTATTTTATTGAATTCTCATCTCATTACGTATCTGGAGACGCTGGAATGGGTTGTGTGATGTGATCACTTTAAAACAATGGTTTACTTACTTTGTCACAAATGTGATAGAAAAAAAACAGGCGACCAGCAAAACAAAATGCGCGTGGTTGTACCTTATTTACCATAAGAAGAATATACTTATGCTTTGATTTGGCGCATTCCCAGTTAAAAAAATTCAAGTATCGCATCCAGATTTTCTTTGGCTAAAAAGTTTTTTCACTGAAAATTGTTCAGCAAAAAAAAGTTAACAACATTTTCGAATTTAAGAATGAATGCTGAATGAGAATTAACTATTTACGATTAATTATCAATTATATTACCTGATAGAAACCGCCTTCAAATTTTGACATTCTGAAACTAAAGCATTGCAAATATTTTTGTAATAGTTTATAAAAAGTCAAAAAAAATATATTAAAAAGTCACAATTTGGGTATATTCTTTTAAAAATGATTTTATTTTGATATTTTTTCTGTTTATTGCTTACAATTGTTGGGAGATTTGTTTTTTTCTTCTAAATATAAAAATGATTTCGATACGAGCATATGTACGCGACACATCGAAAATATCGTTGTTGAAAAAAGTCAACGTTTTAAAGTTTATATTTTACAATTTATAGAAAATATGCAAATGTAAATGGAATTTCGATACATAAATGTTGGCCCGGATTCAAAATCACTATGGCCAAAAGTGAAAAAAAAGTTGTATAATTCTAGTATGTATAATTTTAAAGAACGGCAGCTTTCGATAGTACCACATTGATATCTGTTTCGGGGAAGTGTTGTAATAATTTGACATTGGTTGCAAAATCACTTTCCAATAGTTGCGTTCGAAGTAGACTATTGCAAAGAAAATAAAATCGATCAAATTTCCGTTGATTAAAAAAAGACATTGTGTCCTTACATGATCATTGCACAGCAGACACGAACTAAAAAATCAAATCGATTTTCATCGGAAAATATTGAGTCCCACAGTCGAACAACATCGGGCAATGGAAATTCCTGTGACAATATTAACGTGAGCCACCGGAAACTGTAATATTGTGGATAAAGATTTTGTTGTTCGAGACGATGCCAGACTTCAGCATCTTTTTCTTTCAACATTGCCGACAGTTGGGCCATTTTCTTTTTGATGCCACTCTCTGATTCGTCCAATGTTTTTATAAAAAAATCCCGTATTTCACCCATTAATGCTGTAAAACAGAAGAAACTGTCTGCTTCGGCAAATTCTGTTGTATATTAAAAAGGAATAAATACAAATATAAGTTGCAGTAACGTTTTCCATTGCATCATTCACTCACGTCGATTTTCAATATTTGGATCTGAAGCTAGTACATAGTAAATGGGCCCGATAATTTCGTTCATACCCTGCACATAACCTAAGCCTGGATTTAATTTTGCATATAAAAACAAAATTCGTTGAACAACTTCCCAGTGTGCCTCGCTACCTTCTTCCATCGCTTCATAACTTTCGTGCGAACTTTTTTTTATCAAATTTATCTAAACGAAAACAAAGGAAATGACAATTTGTTTTTTGTAAGCGTTATCACGTTTCTGTTGCTAGTATGTTTCTAGTGAATTTATCATTAGATAACTCACTTGCTGATTGTTTTATTTTTTGTTAAAACCATTTTGTGTTATTTGCATGAAAAAGGAAAAATATTATTTTTGTTATATAAACAGTATTTACAAAGGATTTAGTTAAGCATTAATTTTTTTTTAAAATTATATAAAAAGAAGTATTATTTTGACTGTTTTTACCTTTGTTAAACCCAAACCCTTTCGCTCAACATTGGCTGAGCTAAGAGTTGACGGTGTAACTCGCGTGTGTAGTCTTCGTATACCATTGCTTCGTACAATCTCTTCGCATGGAAATTCAGTTGCCTTTGATTCAGTGAAAAATAAAAACAAACAATTATATAATTTATGAACGAAATGCTTTGAATTATTCAATTTTGATGCTTATTGAATTTTTGGCAAAAACCGAATACCTGTTGGAAAAATGAAATATCTGGACACAAGCGTCGAACATCCTTATCGATTTGAAGTAGAAATTCGTTGTCTTTAAAAAATGTACTCCATGCCGATTCGGGACCATCACTCAATGGATGATCGGTTGTAATTGAATTATCAGCTCCCGGTGGAATTGCCATTTCATCTGCACACAAACAAATAAACATGTTCATTTATCATTCATAGCCAATTTTATGAAAACATACTGATAAATTGTTTGTATAGTTGTCGCTTTTTCTGTAGTAAATTTGTCCAGTCTTGTTTCTTCGTTCCCAAATATCCCAGTAAAATTTTCCAACACAATGCTCGATAGCCATTACAATCGGGAATTCCTTTATTATTCATGCAGACAGAAAGCAAAATTATTCATTAATTCGGTTGGGTTCATTGCACACATAACGAATTAACAGCGATTTGTGCCATCATTTCACACGTACCATTGAAACATAATCTTCGTAACTTTCGAATATCAATCACATTTTCACTTAACAACTCATCAAACTCTTTAATTCTGTCAAAAGATAATAGATCATTCAGTATATATATATTTTTTTGAATTAAATTCCATTCAAGTGAAACTTCACTTACCTGGCTTTGTACAGTGACATATCGGCCCACTTTATTTTGTTTATATTTAATACTAAGTTAGTCGTCAGTGGAATTCGACTATATTTCTTTTAAACAATAGTATACACACCAGTTGTCTGTGTTGATGATGATAAATTCTCTTTGTGTGTTGTTATTTACAATTGAATCAAATGTCAAACTCGAGAGCGTATTACCTAAAATCCTGTCAACCGGTATTGAATGATTGCATTCGCATCAATTGCATTGCCGAGGCAGAGATGGCGCACTTTGACGTCGAACGAATTGTTTGCACTTTTGAATAAAATACACTTAGACTGGATAAAAAGAGTTTTGTTTTCTTTTTCCAAGATTTTTCTTGAAAACAAATTCTATAGTATTTTGAAGATTTTTTGCAAATTTTTACAAAGAGCCATTTGTTTAGACTTCAAAATAAATAAAAAAAATTGACAAAGAACTGTAATTTATCCTATTTTCAATTGGGTCGTCAAGTTGTTGTCTGCAATTGAAGACTTATAATCGCCAAATTGTTGTTGAACTACGCCAAATAAATTTCGTTGCGATTTATTTTTGTCTTCAAAAATCAATTTGACGTCTAAAAGGTTGTATCGATCAACAATGGATTTGATTGAGTCTTAGTGAGTCATCGCCAATAAAAGAAATTACTCATCTCTTGCTATCTGAATTGAAGTGAAAATAAAAACAAGGTGAATCGTCTGTTTCAATTTCAAGCTCCGAATAACATATGATTTTTTCTACTTTGGTATGGTATGAAGGTGCAAAGTGCACTTTAGTTAGTGAATATAATCGTGACATTTCCGGTCATGGCACATACACACATCATAAAATTATGGTTCAAAATAGATTCCCGTCCAAAATGGATTGCTGCACATTTTGCAATCGGCGACACGGTCGATTCCATACACGAATAGAAAGAGAGCGAATCAAATTGGTTTTGTATTTTCATTGTGCACCGACGAGATTGTCGAATGAGTTCACTCGATTGTAGTTAGCTGCGTATAGCACATATAATATTTTTTTATAATCAATAAAAAAACGACAGAATTTTCCATTTGAACTTTCAATCGATTTTGAAGTCCTTCTATCTCACTCATTCAGACTTGCTGGATAAGTTTTCCGGTAGTGCACCATTTCATGTTATTTTCTTTCTTTTTTTTTGTTCGCGCCAATGTTGCCTGAAAAAATAGTATTGGTTCCGTTCTATTTCTTTGTTGGTTCCCGTGCAAGCGCCAACAATCAAAACGTGAATATCGTATCATATTGATGTATTATTGTTTATATGTCGAAATTCCAATCGTTACAGTCATCAAAAAGTGAGAAAAAAAACAACAACAACCAACTATTGAGGCGCTTACAAACGGCACTGGAAATGTGGAGAATTTAGGCTGGGGTGAATCCTCCGCCGCTGTTCGAATGTCGTCGTTTACCTTTATGCTGCACGTACAGGCGCAATTCAAAATCTTTGTTCATGCTAGAGATGTGTTCCTGTTCGCGCGCTCCAGAAAAACCGTCTAACACACATTCACACACATACACACACAAATGGACACCAGTACACACCAATAAATGTGCTTAAATCGCCGACGCCGCACATGGTATTTGCGTTCATTGTATTTTATTCTTTATATCGCTCGTAATGGTACACGCTCGTTCGCTTGCTTTCTCCTTTTTGGTATTCCAATGTTATATTTGTTGTAATGGCGTGTAATATGAGTGTATCGTGACGTCGTTCTTCTTTCTCGCTCAATCGTCCAATTTTATTTAACTGGCTAGCATTCCTTTGGCATTTGCTGCCACGTTCTATCCAAACAGTCTTGAACTAAGAACACACTGCACAGTACACACAGCGCAAAGATTTTCCATTCAATTGAAATTAGCATTTGCAACCAGCAGGAAGATATTATGAATTTCTGCTCTCATTGACGACATACATTCAAATGTTCAAAGAAACGCAACAACAAACAAACAAAATAAAATTAATCTGAACCGAATTATTTAAATCATTGTTGAAAGTGAGTGAGAAAAACAGTTGTCCTATATATTTAAACGTTTGTTTTGAAATAACAGACACGCTTTCGTCTCAAAGATATTTTTTTTTTCAAATGTTTATTTGTGCGTGCATAAAACATCTTGAATGATATTTTGGATATACGATTTAAATCTGCAACGAATAACAACCGAACCAAAGTGAATTTCGAAATTGTCAATCGAATGGCGAAATTCCGCAAGTGAATTGATGAAACGGAGTTGTGTGCAGAGAGACGAAAAAAAGCGCGCGTTAGAAAGAAGGCGTTTCAAATGTGAGAAGAAAAACAGCATTTTTTTCGAATATGTGAAGAAACATTGCAAGATTGTGGAAAACAGACATAGATTACATTTATTGAAGAACGGCATGAAAAATATGTGTGAAAAGTGAATGTGTTTACCGATATGCCGATGTAAACAAAAAAAAATCTGATATTCAATCATTAATTTAAATTGAAAATAATTAATGAAACTAAATCAAAACATTTTGTTTATCGCAAGTGCATATGTCTGAGTTAGAAACGGTGTTTGTCCATGCCAAATAATTTGTTGAATACAGTTTTTTCGGGTGCAAAATCTACAACGTGCTGTAAGTATAACGACTATCCTATTGAAGATCGATGTCGTTTTGTAACCATCGACTTCAAATTAAAAAAAAAAATCAAATGTGAATAGAGAGACCAGATTTGACAAAAGATAATAAATTAGAATAAATAGCGCTTGATCAATGAAAATGTTCAAGTCAATCGATGTGGTTCGACGGCATCAATAAAAGTGGAAAAGCATCGAAAATCAACAAAAAAAAACTAACGAACCAAACACGCATCCACAAAGCAAACAACAATGACGATCAAAAAAAAAATCCATACTATTTCCACATTCATGCATATATACAAGCGATTACGTGCATTCGGCTGTTATCGTTATTATTGTTAAAGGTTGGCTGGTGTTGTGTTGCTGCTGCTATTGTCGTCGTTTTTCCTTTTTATTCGATAGAAACACTTGCACAGTCATATTTTCCTATGTACGCCCCCCTGCACCCGATTGAACACACAAATAAATCGAATCGAAGCGAAAAAATCAATAGTATAGATTACATACGACTCGATGGTGTATTGTTGAATATATTTTTTTTTTTCATCATCGTCATCGTCGTTGTCGTTTTTTTATCGTTTTTTATGTTTGGTCTATTACGTCGTAAGTTTAGCCATAGAATGAACAATCAATATAGCAAAGAAAAAGAAAGAAAAACCCTAACTGAATACCGTGAAACGCCATTTCCAATTAGAGGCAGCGACAATTCAAATTGAAAGAAAACAACGACGAAAAAAAAAGTCGTTGACAATGAGAAGGAAGCATTGCAAATGAAGAACGGAAAAAGTTCAATGCAAACAATTAGCAAAATCGTAAAATTTGTTCGACTTTTCTGTAAATTGCTTTTCCCACCATTTTTCGCAAATAAGTTTTTATATGAACTTTGCAAATGGTTCAAGTGGTTTGCAATTCTTTTTTTTTATGTTTACTGAATGACGTGAACCGAATTTATACCGATAGCTATGATGCATTCTCCTGAGATGAGATGTTCAAAACGGAATTTCCAAAAACGTTTTGAATAAAATAAAGGGAAACGTAACCATCACAACTGGATTTTGTGCATGGTTTCGCCTGACGACTTCATTGATAGAGTTAATGTTCGAGGATGCGCATTTTCGCAATACAAAATGCCTTGATTATAATATGTATACAGATTTTACCTTCTTTATTAATGTTGCTGTTTTTGAAAACCCAAAAATGTTTGCGGGCGCCCACACACAAATGCGCCCATTGCCATTTTATCAACAGGATTTTGTCGAGAGTTGTAAGCGAAAATGAGTTGTAGGCGTCTGATGTGTTGATAAATGAGGCATACATAAGGTTGCTCCCATAGAAATTCGGTGTTCCATATGAGCATGAACTATATGAATGGGAGGGGGAGAGAGAGAGAGAGATTTCGAATCAGAAAATCGGAATTGTATCTGTTCTCCGTTGAGGCACACAACGAGTTTAGGTCAAATTGGAAAATGTTTCGCAAAACAGCAACGCGAATCGAATTCAAAGTGAATCATATCCAACACATTGTATTTTATCATATATATACACATAGAAAAATAAATCGCAATTGGAAAATGCGGTGAAACATCCACCGAAAGAGACGACACACAACAATGAACGAGGAACAACATACAAAAGTCGATATGTGTACATACAGCACACGACAGTGAATTGCGCGCGAGATTCACTCTACCTAAAATCGTTTTATTGATTTTTTTTGTTGTTGCCTTCGTTCCTTGCTCTTCACGCGCTGCAGAGTGAGAGTGTATATTTGATTTTGGTGTGTACACGGTCTGTGTTTTGTGTGCTGCTTTTTTTATTGTTATTATTTTATTTTTATTTCAATCCGCTGTTGATTCGGTCGATGGTGATTGTTATGATAGTCGTTGGTGTCGCCGTTCTGCTGAATGTACAAATGACGATAACTCTCGTATTTATACCGATATACACCACGCTTTTATTTGGTGGCGTCGTACGTTATGATTCATTGAGGGTTTTTATTTACTTGAGTATGACAACAGCAACAGCAGCAATAACATGAAATATAGGTATAGCGTCGCATGAGGAAAATTCGTATTGAAAATCGCATAAAATACGAAGGAGAAAATGATTCTCCTACACTTTAGAAGTATACCTATAAATTATACGTTGAAACCGAATATTCGATTGATACATCGAACGTAGGATGTTTAATAGCGCACACGATGACCGTTCGCTCAGCATGGTCATGTTTGTGTGTGTGTGTTTAGGGTATATTCATACCTATCTCGCGATGAAAAGAAAGAAAGAAAGAGAGAAAACGAATCAAAAAACCAATGGTATCAAGCTTTATTTCCTATTTGGCGCACGCTGCAATGCAAGTGTTTGTTGTTGTGCATATGTATGTATATAAATAGCATGCCAAAACATTTATTACGAAGTTATATTTGGAATTTGATTTACAAAAATAAACCGTTGAACGCTTATTATTTAGCCATATGGGATTGGAGTTGCGGAGGCGGAGACAGTGATATAGACGAGGGGGTTGATAAAGAATATTGTGTTAAATGAAAATTTCATTTGGAATTTCCACTTGGACCCACGAAATCATTAATTAGATATGAAGTATTGTTTTCACTTGCACACGCGATCGAATTTGATCTGATAGTATGACGCGATATGATTGATGGTTTCATTGGTTGTCCGTATGTTATAAATTACAATCATGGAATAGAAGAAGAAAAAACAATTGAGTTAAACACTGTAACTATATTTGCGCGCGTCATTTTGAATCGATGCTTAACGATAATCACGGCTACCGTTATTAAGCAACAAATCGATTTGAATTGATTTTATTTTCTTTCTCCCTCTCACACACATATTGTCTGCATTTTGGTTCTTGGTTTAAATCACCATTTGCTTAATTCTAATTGTTAAATGGCGCCATAGTTCGAATCAAGTTGAAAACACCCCATCACCATCATTATGTGGTATTTCAAATTGATAATACAGTCAATTACTTCTTTTTTTTACACAGGATTCGGCACAAACGGAGCAAAGAGAAAGAAGGAGTGGAACATATTGATACAAATTGTATGTTTTTTTTAAACGACGGTATTTTGTAATTCAATACAAACACCACTTAAAAATCAATTACCGTTCGTACCATTGAACAAGAATCGAATGACACTGTATATGTGTATGACACTTAAATCAGGTTGAATATGTCGTCATCTCAGATAGCTGAAAATTATCAATTAAAGTGGCATTCTCATTTGACCAATTTAAATTCATCGGTGGCCACGCTTTTCAGGTAAATAAAGAAATATCCATTTAAAAATAATATACATTTCAATCGAATTGGATTCTATTTGTGGAACAGTCTGAAAATGTTTGGTATCAAGAAGACAGAATATAAATCTTGCACTTCATGAACCAATGTTAATTTATAAATATTTCTATGTACAGAAATGACAAGTTTGCCGATGTACTATTGTTCACAAGTCAAATGGATGGGGGTTGTGGTATTCCAGCGCATAAGATAATACTTAGCTCCTGTAGTCACGTATGTATCATTCATTCATTTTTCTTTTTAATTTGTTTGTTTTGTTTTTCTTCATTAAAATCTTTTTCGTCTCAATTTTCTTTGGAAATACACCCACACAGTTCTTTGCACAAGTATTTGACTCAAATCCATCACCGCCAAATTCTATGGTTTATATTGTGCTACCGCCTGAAATTAGCCGAAGATCGATACAGATTTTGATTCAATATATGTACAGTGGCGAAGCAACCGTATCGAATGATATACTGTAAGTGTTGTTATTTTAAGCTTTTAAGCGCAGATAAATAAAAAAAAACAAAAACATTTTTACTCAGTAATGAAGTACTTCATGGTGGTGAACTATTGAAAATACGTGGGTTGTGCCGTAATAAACAAACACAATCCACGACAACAACAACAACAACAGCAGCAACAGCGGCGGCGCCGGCAACAGCACCATCGTCATCAATGAATGAGACAAGTTCATTACATTATTCATCTGGTGGTGATACTGGTTGCGATAAATCAATGTATGAACTTCATACGGACCGAACGGTCAATAATGCGATCATCAAAGAGAGTCCCGTTATCGTAACATCACCACAGCATATGGGCAGCAGTGCATCAGTCGCACATAAACCGTCATCATCATCTACATCGTCCGCAATCCCATCAGGATCCAGCCTATGTCAATCCGATCCAGACATTCCAAAACGAGTAAGAACGAAATCATATTAACGTACATTATAACAATAATTCGATTTCAATTGATTTCATTTATTTGGTTATCAGAGTTCCATGAGTTACGGTCTAAAATCCACTGTGGTTCGAAATCATTGCGCCTATAATTCACCGACAACGCCATTGCATATAAAATCATCATCTGTACACAATGAACTTGGCCATATGCCACCGCCCATAGCATCGCAAATCACATCATCGACCACATCATCATCATCGCTTATACACTCACCCGATTCGCACAGCAACAGCAGCAGTGTGTCAACAAATCCAAATAACAATCCAAATATGGGCATTAAAAAGGAATCAATGACAATCAATGCAATGAACGATGACTTGGTTAGTGTACCGGCACATTATGGTTTAGTATCGTTACAAATAGCGGCCGCTGTGAAAAAAGCACAACAAATTTCCGAAAAACGATGTGCAAACAGTACATCACATTTATATCAAAAATCATCATCACACCATGCAAATCCAATTGCAAACAATCATGAATCACAATCAACAGTGATCGGTATTGGTGTCGGCAGCAGTGGCGTCGAAATGCATGGCAAACATATTGAAAATGGCAATAATTCAACGGCAACGATAACAACGACCTCAACAAATAATAATTTTGTGCGACGATACAGTGATGACTATTTTGCCAAGGACGATATTCCAAGTGGATCCCATTTACATCATCAACAGGTAATTTCATTATATTTACATCATCAACACATGACCAGTCAATCATTTTTATCATAATCATCATCATCATCGTTGTGGTTGTTGTCATTTTGTGGGAAATAAAAACAGTTACCGGATTTTAGTAGAAAGTCAGACAAGGAACAACAACAAAAGCTATCTCGTAACAATTCAACAGGCACATTTGATAAAAACACTTCACCAATGGTAAAAAAAAAACACATATATAAACGCTCAAGTAATACAAAACCCATAATCTCGGTCAATAATCATACACATCCTAATATTGACGACACACTTTTAGTTTGTATAACAAACATTTTTGTTTGTTTTTTTTTTGCAAAAAAATCTCACTTTAGGCACAACAACAAACAACACAAATGCCGGAAGATCTACAAATGATGGCCATCAAACAGGAACCAGTCGAATGGTCAGATTTTGACCACGAAAATGCAAGTCTAAACAAATCAAGCATTGAGGTTGCTGTCAAACCGGAACTGATTTATTCGAAGGGCGACACTGACGAAGAAGGTTTGTCAATAAATTTTATTTGCCGCTTTTTTTCCCCTTGCGATTTTTTCTTTATTTGGTTCCTTTTGTTATTGCGATTATTATAATTTTATTACAATTTTAAGAGTGCGAATCAATTGTTTTCTATGTTTTCGTTTACATGACGAAATGAAAACAGCAACCGAACAACAAGAACCAATTTATTCGCCATTAACATGTGAATTGTGTAGTGAAACCTTTACCGTTCCAGCCGAATGGTGTCGACATGTACAAAATCAACACATTGAGAGCCATTCCGAAACGACACATTGTGTACCAAAAAAACGGAAACACATCGAGGTAAATCGCATTTGAATTTTTCCTACGTTTTTTTTTTACTGTCCTTTTTCTTGAGTTCAAAAACAATCCGTTGTAAAATTTTCTTTCTTTACTTTTGTAGTCGAGCACAATTTCGGAGAATATAGCTGCGTTGCGCTGTGATTTATGCGATATGTACTTTGCAACGCCCGCCGAATGGGTTCGACACGTACAAAATCATACCGAAACCGAATTGGCACTCTCCAACAATAATGCATCGTTACGCCAAAGCAATACAGCAACCAGTGCGGTCAGTCATCGTTCATCAAGAGGTCAGCCGCAGCACATCGAAACCTCCAAATACGGCCATTCACAAAGTAATTCGCACAGGTACGCCAACCTTGAGACATCGATTTTTATTTAAAAATTTATACAATTTATATTCACTGTATAGATAAATATAATCAGCAAAATTGAGTCAGCGAAATGTGAACACATGCTCCAATTGTCAGATGTGGGGTCAAAGACTATCAAGAAAACAAGGGCTTCGATACAACAAAAAAATATCACCTTTACTCGATTTAGATACACACAACTTCTGATACATTGATGGTTCGATTTAAAAATTCAGTTGAAATAATGGGGATTGAGAGCGCAAAATCGATCCACGGACAATAAATTAATCTCCAGTGAACCGAATATAAAAACATACCAAGAAAAAAAAAAGCATTTACGAAGTATGGGCTCATCGTGATAAATAAAAAGTCTAGTATTTAAGTCACAGATACATATATTTACACATTCATTTAATTATTAAGTTTTCACAATGGACAAAAAAGAAATCAACAACTAAATGCTCGCATCAACAACAGATCTATGCCCCCCACATCCAAAATGTTTCGCATTTTGGACAACTTTAGCTTCTAAGATCAAACTATTTTTTAATCTATTTCCTAATTATCTTCTCGATAGATCTTAACATTTATCCAACTATTTATATATCCAAATTATTCAACTTGCAAAACGATTTTTGATTCGTAGCTCTCTTTTTCGTGTCTCAACTAACATAATGACATTTAAAAATGAAAATAAAACGTCACATTTACAGAATAAAAATCGAATCCTAAATAGATAGTAGATAATCATATGTATTTACATGAATTTATGTGTATGAACATGATATTTCCATATTCCAGCACATTTTACCGAATCATAAACCATTTGTTTTTATTTCTCCTTCAAAATTGTTATTTTGATAAATTTACAGATCTTTGTTTTTAAGATTGAAAAGATGGATTTTTTTATCCTTTTTTTTGTTAGTTTGTATTAATTTTTCATCGAATGGAGCTTAATTTCTAAGATTTAAATCGGTTACTAGTTTGGGCACAATTCTTTTATAATTTTCGTTAAATTTTAAAATTCGAACTGGTCACATATGGTATAACTAAACTACTTTTCAACGGTCGACTAATATTTTTCTCAACAATGTTAGAGACATATTTAGTCGTTTAATTTCGTTTTAGAGTTAGTAGGTTAATCGACCTTAAAATAAATCTCACATAAGAAATCTTTTTCATATAAATTTCAATGTAGCGAAACAATCGGTGATTCCATTTTCGACCTAACAACGCACCATCTCAGAAAAATCATACATTAACATTCCAATACTGGAAAAGAACATCATTTTTGATAATTAAGATCGATTCGTTTTTTTTACATATATTTTTTTAATATTTTATTTTAATGAATTTATGACAATTTTGCTTATGATTTTTTATTTGGTTCTAAATCCAAATTTAAGGCAATAATTAAATAAAATTTTTAAAATTCTAGGAGACATTCGAATGTATCGAAATATTCTTGTTCGATCGTGGAATTCAAAAAAAAAAAGGAAAAAATATAAAAAAAATCTATAATTATTTTGAATGCAGTTTGAAAATTAAGCCATTTTTTATCACATCCCTCTTTTGCTCTATACTGTGTAAATATTTCCTCTATTTAATTGTATTCAGTGAAAAACACCGAATAATCGATGCAAAATTTAAAAAAAAAATACAATCTATTGTAAAATTAAAACTCAAAAGATAAAAAATCAGAAACAATTTAAAGCAAAAATATAAACAAAAACAAAAAATATTTTTTGTATAAATCATAAAAACGATGTCTCTCGACTCTTTTTTTCTCTGATGACAATTTAGCCAGAGGCTTAAAACATCGGTGAGATTCCCATGCTATTAGGAGAACTGCGTCTGTAGGAACATTAATTTGGTCGTTTCTTAAATGTCAATTTGACTGGATGCTCTGGTTTATTTATTGTCGTTGTTGTCTTTACGTCCAAATATTCAACGCCAGCCCAGCCAATTTCATACTTTCGGATTATCTAAAAAAAATAAGAATTTTCATAGAAAAATGCGCCAAAAAAAAAACAACATGCCGCATGAACACCACTTACTCGAAGCATTAAAACGAGCATATTTTGTTCGGCGAATCGTCTTGCGATGCACGATCTCATGCCATGGCTAAATGGTAACACCAAATATGGATTAATGGCAGTTTTCGATGATACTCCGTCTGAATTCTTTAGCCAACGTTCTGGCATAAATTTTAATGGTAACTCAAAATGTTTGGCCAAACGACATGAAATGTAGTTTTGAGTCACAATTATCGTCTGAAAAAAAAAAACAATGAAATTTGAATGTGAAGGAAGAGAAAAATGAGAATATCCTTACTCCTTTTGGCACATTGTATCCGCTTAAAACGAGATCGGTGTTTGTAAAACGTCCAACACCAACTGACACCGCATTCAATCGGAATGTCTCTTTAAGTACGGCTTTGCTATATGTTAAATAATTTGCCATTTTGTCAACTGTTATTTCATCCGTATCATAATTGGGCAGAACAGTTAACGCTTCTTGAAATACTTTTTCTTGCACATTCGGATTTCGAGCTAAGTGATAGAGTAAAAAACATGTGGAATATGTTGTCTAATGATGTTTTGGGATGACATATAATTAAAACACAAAAGCAAACCATAAAAGAAAAGGGAAAAAATTGCAAAATTATTGAAAATGAAAATAACTAAACACAAAAACCAAGGATGATTAAAAAATGTACCGTGTCAACACCAGCCAAAAGTAAATCACATGCCATACCAACCACATCGGCCAGGTCCAATTTCGGATTCAACAAGTAATCATCGAGCAAAGATCGTCTTGTTATGGATTGAGCACCATTGCTATCATCGAAATAGGAAATTTTTTGACTTACCAAGTCGACAGCAACGCTTAAATGAACAAATTTACACATTTTTTTATCAGCACATTTAAATGATTAAATCATTTTTCGTTTACCTCTCCATATATTCTTGAGACAATCGAAATTTCCGATAAATTGGTGTTTCAATGTATCGCCAAATGGGAAAACCTTGATCGAGCGGAATTAAACAACTATTTGAATCTTCTGCCGCTTGTATTAGTCGTGTTGAATGGGATTTTGGATGCCGTTCTTTGTCGGTAAAACTATGCATTCGAACGTCAAACGCTAAATAACAAACCACTGCACGAACAAAAGTTATCAAAAATTTGGCAAGATATTTAATTGAGAGTAGGAAGTAGCTTACATTCCAAATTCAATCGTGATAATTCAGGTAAAAAATCAGCCACATTTTCGGTATCAATAGTGGGTTGAACTTGTGATACAAATTCTTTGGTAATTTTGTCGGAATCATTCAAAAATTGTCGAATGTGATTCGGTGAGCTGAGTCCTTTTTGAAATTCGGATCTTAAACGCCACCACTCGCGTCCATTTCTATAAATACACATAACACAATTAATAATCGTTTATTTTGGTTATATATAAAAATTTGGTTAATTTTACGTAGGTAAGAGACCGCCGGTTTTATAAATGTGTGGACGATCTTTTCGGTATTTTTCTAAGCCCAAATGACTCTTTCGTTGCGGATACATATCCGGACCTGAATTATTCAACACCTTGGATATATCATTTGGATCATAGAGCCAAATAATATCAACACCTGGAACCATTCGTTCTTTCACAATATCACCGTATTTTGAATATTTATCCAAACCCGATTTGTGCACTTCATCCCAACTGTACTTTCCTATATTCGAAAATGGAATTCAACAGAGAAAACAAATTACAATTTAAAACTTCCAAAAAATACTAAAGCAAATTGATTTACATACCAAATACTGGAAAATAATGATAAAATGTTCCAATGCCGAAAATTCCTTTGGGCCCCGGAATATCGTCATATTTTTTTGCTTTGAGATTTGTTATCGATGTTTTTGTCGCCGTTTTGGTGGATGCTTTTATTTCATTTTCAAAACATCGATTGCTCGTCTCTTTCTCTTTCAATGCGACATTTGCAAAATGCCGTATATTTTTACATTTTTTATACGTTCCCGTTGAATACAACATCGTTCACACCGCCGACCAAAAATATAATTGAGATTCAGTGAAGTTTATCTAATTTCGGGTAGAATAAATAGGAATACATTTTGTGCGATTCAATACACAGTTGTTGTTGTCATTGTTTGTATTTCGATTAATTGTATGGTCAAAGTCTTTTGTCGCTATAATCAATTACCGCAAATTTTGTTGAACAAAAAATATTGTTTGTCGCTTCGAACACGGTGACTATCCTATAAAGAACGAAACTAAGCATGTATTGTTGACGATAATTGATCAAATGATCACGTTGTTTTCGTTTTAATTGAGAAGATCTTCGATAGTCACAAAGATTTTATTCTTAACAAAAATCAATTTTTTTTTTCGTTTTTATTGGAAATAATAAGAATATCAAATTCAAAACAAATGATAAATGATAATCACAAATGCCACTGAATCTACTTACAAATGGAAACCGACTGATTGTTGTTGATATACTGAGTACGGCATAAATAAAAACAAATCACTGTTACAGTGTCTCACTGACAACTCAAGCGATCGCCGAAATGTCAGTTCCGTAAACGTATGTCAATCGAAAGTTTTTGTTTTCGCTATTGTTGGTCGGATTCCAGTTCAATCCACATTTCTTTTATCAGATTTATGTCATTGGCGAAAATTGTTAAAAATGCATTAAGTCAATAAACACATGTTCGAAAAAAAAAACAAGCAAAGAAATTAAATGAAGATAAGAAAGGTTTTTCGTTTGGTTGAAACCTGATAATGTTCATGGAATTTTTCGTAGTGTTTTTCACATATAGGTGGCGTACATGACTCTATTTTCCAAAATGTACAATTTGTGAATTTCAAAAACCTTGGCTTTGTTCATAAAGCATGTTTCGAATTAAGAAGTACAAATGTAAGAAAAAAAGGCATATGTTTTTCAGTTTGGCATTTTTTTTTTTTATAAATTTATAATATAACAACCCATTACACAGATTAAAAGAATAGAATTGTTTTCCTTTTCTTGTTAACTAATACACAATATGTTCCGACAATGTTTCAAAATTTAAATTGATTTAATAGTGATTGGTAAATGTGATCGTAATTCGATTCCATTTTAGCCATATTATTCTCAACTGAGAAATTACTTGAAGAGATTGACCAATTTAATGACTGGATCACCGTAGTGACTTGCGAACGGTAATGCTGATGGGTATGGAGCATCTTTTACAGCAAGTTTTGGGGCAACAGGAATTATTGCTGAAAATTAAATGTTATCTTCAGTAATTGAAAAGAATAAAAATCATTTGATAAATGTGGACGAATACTTACGTGGACCATAAATTGGTGCGGGAGTTTCGACAATGGCTGGTAGAGCTTCTGTTTTAACAATTGCTTCTTGTTGGAAAACCGCTAAATTCAAATAAAAAATTATAAGAAATGAATGATTTGTCGATATGAAATGTTGGCATAATGATTAGATCTTACGTGTGCCGTAGACCACTTCTGGTTTGACTGGAGTATCTTCGACAGGTGC